CCGCTACCATTGTTAATTGGTTGACCCGGGAGGACATTCGCTTGTCTGTAGTTTGAGCCCATTTAAGAGAATGCTAGCCCAATATAGCTTTAAATGTAGGTTGGTTTTCATGTTATTTATTTCTCGATGTATAATTTAAACTGAGTCACAAGGAATTTAAAAGCAAAGAAAACGCCAAGAAAATTCACCATATCGATATTGAAAACGTTTCGGAGTCCAGCTCCATCATCAGTTCGACTAAACTAAAAATGAANGATGGAGCTGGACTCCGAAACGTTTTCAATATCGATATGGTGAATTTTCTTGGCGTTTTCTTTGCTTTTAAATTCCTTGTGAACTTGCGATATAAGCAGACTAATGATATAAGTACTTAAACTGAGTCCCACTATAAAACTTACTAAGGAGTTGGCCTCTCGAAATGCTAGCAAAATACAGGATTTATATAATGTAAGCCCTCAAATTGAAGTGTCCTTTAAACTCAGAAGATTACATAAAAATGCACAAAAAAGTTCAAACCATACAGAGAAAGCTAACAGATGACAGCTCATAGAGTGACCATAGTTATTTTGGAAGAAATTTTTACTTCGAATAAGAATTAATTATTTAAAAATATATATATTCATAGAATTGTACTGAACTTTGTTGCCTAAGATCAATTACTTGATATTATCAGATCATTAATTAGTTGTCGAATATGTTCAAATGACAGGTTTAGATTATTAGTATTAGATTATTAATTAGTTTTCAAACGTGTTCACCTAATCAATAAGGAGGAAACAGGACTTAGCCTGCGCAGCAGCTCGTCGCGCTGAGTCATTGCTACGATTTTTTAATATAATTGCAATTATTTTAAATACTTGAAGAGATACATGTAGTATTGAAGTATTACAATTAATACTTGAAGAAATAAATAGAGATACATGCAGCATATAAATGAAAAAGCACATAGAACGAGTTTTTAAACTTTGATTAGTAAGTTAAATGAATCCACTATTAATTTTAGCAGAATAATATTGAATTTTATTCACATATTTGGGAAAATAATCACGATGCAATGTCAATTACCTGTACTAGTAGGTTCTGAAGTTGTGGTCGATATTACCGGACCTGTGGGCGTAAATCATATTATGTAATGACAATCATATTTGCATCATATGAGGAGACAGTTCCTTTGAGAATACTCCACATTAAATTTATCAGATTAATTTGCTTTGTACCGTCATAGTAGCAGGAAGCATTGGCGTCGGTGCCGGGCTGCAGCAGCACGTCGCTGTAGAGTTGGCAGCTCTGCTGGGCTCTGCCCCAGGAGAAGCCCACACAGCGCACTCCTGCGCACCAGAAAATCACGCCTTTTTGAGGTAATATCCAACTAACTTCAATGACCTCAAACTTTTGCATCAGAGTTTAGCAACACAGTCCCGCGCAGAACGCTGAGCCCCGTACCTGTTTGGCCGCAACACAGTCCCGCGCAGAACGCTGAGCCTCGTACCTGTTTGGCCGCAACACAGTCCCGCTCAGGACGCTGAGGCCCGTACCTGTTTGGCCGCAACACAGTCCCGCGCAGGACGCTGAGTCCCGTACAAGTTTGGCCGCAACACAGTCCCGCTCAGGACGCTGAGCCCCGTACCTGTCTGGCCGCTACACAGTCCAGCGCAGAGAACAGTTCTGTCGACGTTGTGGTCTGAGATGAGCGAGCCCTGACAGCCTGAGGAGTGCAATTTTTCGAAGACACGATTGCTTGCTGCTACAGATAAACCTATGAGGATACTCCCTAGAATAATTTTTGAGTCTGCTATCTTGGGAATCATTTTTATTATTGTCCGTTTCTGTCTTGTTGAAATTCCAACAAAATTGAATTCAGAGAATGAAGTTCAATTTCAAGAATCGGTAGCAAAATCTTTACTTTCCTGTCAGAATAAATGAAAAATTACATTTCGGACAATTCTCCCATTGTCATCAAATGTTTTACTAGGCTAGGCACGTCTCTTTACATACATAGATAATTCAATGTTTATTCAACATAATTCGAACTTGTCAGGAGTTCATATTACAAGCCAACTGAAGATGTCTGGGTCGTGTGGAGGAGTCTGTGCACGCACTCTCAGCGTCTCGGATGATGTCGTCGCTTTTTAAGCCTCTGTAATCAATACAGTGAGTGCCCAATTAGAGCGGCGAAACGAGTCACGGTCATGGAGCGATTTTCAATCGAACTTCAAGAGGCCAAGTTATAAACTCCTTGCAAATTCTGAGCGCCTAGTTTATCCGTCAAAAATATAAATTTCAAGGAAAGTTCATGAAAATTGCTGCCAAAATTATTGTGGTTCATTAAAACTTTGAGAAATCTCTCTTAAAAATGACTAATGAACAGAGAACACACCTTCAGGGTTCCTGTACGGAATTCAGTCATCACAAATTTCTCGCACACACTGCTTCTATGAACTAAATTTCTAAAAACATTCTGCTATAATGAAATATTGCATTCAGGGAGTCGGCTGCGTATCTGGGTGAAGTGAAAACCCACTTTGCAAGAAATTGGCCGTCCGATTTTTTTTCTGTGGTCACCTACCAAATCAAAGGATTTTCCAATCAATCAATTTCTTGGGTTACCGCAAAGCCGTTTAATCTTCTATAGCTTTTTACTAGGCGGCATATTGCAGCGCTGTAAACAATGCATTACAAACTGAAAAAACTTCTTCTCATAAACTTATTAATAGAAATAAAATTTCCTAGTCGTGTCTCTTGATATAGTTAACAAAAAATTTAGTATCAAAGTAAAATGGCTAAAATAGTGTCATACGCGCTTTTCATGTGCAACAGGATGATTGAAAAACGTACAAGGTTTTAAAATTTTAATCAATTTAATTTTTAATCACAAATTAGCACATTATTTTATCAAGATTATAAATGGTATATTTAATCGATTAAACATTTAGAAGAGCTAATTTTAGGTATAGAATAATATATATTCTTAATTCCGTTGAATTTATTGAAAGTTTTTATTTGGAAAATCATTATACAGTTGCCTTAGAGTTCGCTGACATTGACTTTTAGCGAATGTTTGTCAAGAAAGAAAGTCTCATGACGTCGAATGATTTCAGTTTTAGACGCTATTATATTTCTCACGTAGCCGTCCCGCTGGCGTTCTCCTAAAACTGCTAGTTTTAACGATGTATACTTTATTTTAATGAAAAATATTAATACTAATTATTAGTCCAATCTTGCAAATAACCTGCCTCGCCGATGAAGCCTCCCGGAGCGTCAGTGATGAAGGCACCAAACTAAGGATCAACTTGTGGGTCGATCTGTTAATATTCTGTTTACACTTCATGAGTGTGATCGAGTGATCCTATTGAAATATTGATGACAATGATAAAGCAAAATTCGTATTACCGATAACGGAGCTCCTAGTGCGGAACGCCAAACCTAATTTTCAGAAGTAAGCTTAATCAGGTTCATTAAGTTGAATGTAAATCATATTGTTCAGTGGAGTACCGATGACAGAACTACAAAATAAAATGTAGTTACGGGAGACGGATTCGATGCTGGAGACAAATTAATGTTAGCCACTCGTGTAGCTTGAACGCAAATGAAGTTCAATAAACATCCGTTTGCCAAGTCTGAATTTCTAATGCCGGCTGTCGTCATGGCATGATAGGCTTAAATTGTGCCATTTCTTCATTGCAAATTTTAATAATATTAGTTTCATGGTAATAACGATTCGATTGAAATATTCCACGTATTTACGGTAGAATAATAAACAAGTGTGAATCACGTGATTTATTAGCGTAACATTCTCTCAACTAAGTCGACATAACGTTTTCTAAAGAGATGCATTATTGATGATAACCACTGAGTGATCATCAAATGAAATGGTCGAAAAAATTGATGGAATATTTACACTAAATTTTCCAGTGCGCAATTCTGGTCATCTACTAACGTCCAGCAGGCAATAGTCATTCATATCAATATGTCCAGGAACGTACGAGTACAAAACGCAAATGAGGTCGCAGCATGGGAGTGTGATTGAGGTATGCGTGAGTTGACTGACTGCAGTCATTTAATTAATTCTAATTCACAACCTAATGGAGTTTGTTCTTGTGCATTTTCTTTTACTTCGGCGCTGGCGATGCTGAATGTTCCCAGATTTATTGCACCTCATTGGTTACCTTTATTCCGACTGCTTGGATGTCAAACGCGTAATTAAATGGGTATATAAAATATTGCTGCAACACCATTCGGTTCTTACATTCTTTTGATCATATTCGTAATGTCGCCTGAGCCCCACATAACGTTTACAGTACTAAGTATAATTCTCTGGTATAACTCGTAGAATGTAATACCGCCGCCAATATGAGAGTTGCTGCAGGCTGCTGCGCAGACCGTATTTTTATAACTAGCGAATTTTAAAATAATAGTTGAGAAATGTATATGACATTCAACACATGATGAATCAATTGTAAAATTCACAGGTATCGTGAACTTTACTCTTTAAATTAGGTTGAATATTGCAATATTGAGTTCCAAATACAATATATTCGAAAAACTTTGTGCGAAGGGATCTTGCCGGCTGACTGGAAAGAGGCTCAAGTGACACCATTGTTCAAAAAAGGTGACAAAAACTGCCCAGGTAACTATCGCCCTGTCAGTTTGACAAGTGTCGTTTGCAAGGTAATGGAATCTGTTGTGAGGGATCGATTGATCGATCATTTGATTGCTAATAATCTCCTATCAGAATGTCAACATGGCTTTATTGCCGGTAGATCCTGCACGACTAACCTCTAGTCTAGCCTGAACGAATGGACCAGCATGCTGGACGAAAGGGAGACAGTAGATGCAGTGCACCTCGATTTCGCCAAGGCATCTGACAGTGTCCCACATGAGCGGATATGAGAAGGCACGGTTGCAACGACAGAGTGATGATGTCGAAGTCGACAATGGAAAAAGATTTAGGAGTTAATATCGACAATGAGTTGAAATTTGCCAAGCATATTGAAGGTTAAGTTAATAAAGCCAATAAACGACTTGAACTGATCTCACGCTCTTACGAGCACATAGATGCTGAAGCGATGAAACTGTTGTTAGTCGCTGTCGTGCGTCCGAACTTTAAGTTTGGAAACGCCCTGTGGTCACCAAACCTATAAAAGGATAAAAATTTAGTCGAGAGTGTTCAAAGACGTGCAACAAGGATAATTCCGAGATTAAAAGGCAAGCCTTATGAAGAAAGATTAAAGATTATGAAGCTTCCAAGCCTCCGTTATCGACATCTGCGTGGAGACCTCATTGAAGTATACAAGTTTACCTACGATTTACATAAGGTCCCAGAAGGATTACTGGAATTTGAAACAAGAAACAAACACCAGGGACCACGGATATAAACTAAAAAACTGCGTTGTAACACATTCATGCGACAACATTTCTTCTCGCTTCGAGCCACCGACATGTGGAAAAGCCTCCCTGATAGCATCGTTGACGCTCCGAGTATGAACGCATTCAAGAATAGACTAGACGAAGCTATGCAGGAGCATATGTTCAGTCTTGAAATGCCTATCAAATTACGGACCAGGCAATAAGTCCACCAGCTATCTCAATCAATCGTCAGTTATGGAAAGATCGGGTTCATAAGGCCGGATCCTCATGTGGAATCAAGTCACGAAAAGTACAAGAATCGGCCGACATTTCTTCAGTGCCGACATTTCTATTCTATTCTATGAGTTGGACGGCACGTAATTGAATCATCATGTTCATCAGTCGCACTTTGGCGGCCATGTTCTTCTTCCGTCGCTTTGATTTACTTTCGCGGGGTTACTCTTCGCAACAAGGATAACGTCGAGCAGATGAATTCACAAGTAAATAGAATTAATCAATCGCTTGAAATATCCTTACATTTACCACAACTATGTACCGTCTATGTTGAAGCACGACAATTGCGTGCTCTAACGGGTTAAAACTCCAACCAATGTCAGCAGTTGATACCTGTGTACCTAAGATTACGCTTGGTGGAGTCAAAAAGTCCCAGTGGATGAACGGTGCAGTTAAGGCTCAGCTAAAGACCATGAGAGAAGCCTACAAGCGATATTTACGAACTCGTAGCGATTCTGATTATAACATGTATGCAAGGGCTCGAAATCAAGCTAAAATAGTTTGTCGCAATGCAGTGAAAAACTTCGAAAAAAATATTGCTAAAAATGCAAAAAAGAATCCGAAAGCCTTCTTTTTGTACGCTAGTTCGAAGTGTAAGTCAAAGAACGGTATTTCTGATTTGAAAGTAGACCAATGAAAGATTTCCTCCGATGAGGGCAAGGCAAACGTTCTTAATCAGTTCTTCAGCAGTGTATTCGCAGATGAGGACTTGAACAGTATTCCAGATATTGAGGAGCGCCCAGTCAGCTCGAAGCTAACAGGTTTTGAAATACACGAAGAAGAGGTTCTCAAGCGCCTGGTAGCTCAAAATCCCAACAAGTCATGTGGAATCTCGTGCCTGCTGTACTATTTTATTCAACGTGTTGCTTTTAAGTTTTCTTTACTGGAATAAAAGGCAAGTTTTACCGTGTTAACCGAAGTTTTACTGAACGGAATCCTGGTGCAATAGAGTGCAATTGAACATTTTACAAGATAGTTGCCGGCGTTTGGCCGTGGAGCTCCGATCATCCTGACAAGATTAAAGGTAACGGCACACGTCCGGTGACAACCTCGGGAAGAACAATGAACAGCAAGATTACAGTATGAGAAGACATGGTTGCAACGAGAGAGTAATGATTGAAAATCTAGTGTGGAAAAAGATCTCGGAGTTTATGTCGACAAGAAGCTAAAATTTTCTAAGCATGTTGAAACGCAAGCTAACACATCCAACAAACTTCTTGGATTAATCAGACGCTCATACGAGTTCCTAGATGCAGAAGCGACGAAGCAGTTGTTTGTTGCTGTAGTGCGCCCGAATCTAGAGTTTGGAAATGTTGTGTGGTCACCGAGATTTGAAAAGGACAGAAATTTACTAGAGAATGTTCAAAGACGCGTAACAAGGACAATTCCAGGCTTGAAGGGCAAGTCCTATGAAGAAAAATTAAAGATTATGAAGCTTCCGAGCCTCAGTTATCGACGTCTGCGTGGGGACCTCATTGAAGTATACAAGTATGCTCATGGTTTATACAAGGTCCCCGAAGGATTACTAGAATTTGAAACAAGAACCAACACCAGGGGCCACAGCTATAAACTAAAAAAACGACGCTGCAACTTCTCCACGCGACAAAATTTCTTCTCGCTTCGAATCTCTTCGACATGTGGAACAGCCTCCCCGATGACATCGTTGGCGCTCCACGTATGAACGCATTCAAGAACAGACTAGATAAAGCTATGGAAAAATATATGTTCAGATTTGAAATGCCTAGCACCATATCGAACCCAGTGGAAGTCGAGTAGCTATTTCAAACTTTCGTCAGTCATGAAGAAATACGGTCAAATGACACGATTTCGATCTTCTGTGAACAAGGCACGAAAAGGAAAAGAATCGGCGACAGGCCACATCAGGCCTACACTGCAGCGCCGAGATCACTATGTTATGTTATCACTAACTGTTGCACTGAAAATAAACGGAGTGAACATTACATTACTATTGTTTTCTCTCCGGTGTCCAGTTAATTTCAATTTTTCAGTGCGTTGAAAAAATATATCAGTAGATTATATGTAAACTACTAGCTTAGATCGGCCTCCGCAGTTTAGCCTATCAACTGGATATTGAGGATTTTTTGTGGGAACTGATCATTCTGTTCTGAATTTTTGTGGGAACTGAACTTCTGTGGGAACTGATCACCTCTTAGTCTGCTGTTGTTGCAGAGCAACAAGTTCTGCCAGCCGAGCACCTAACACGGGCCGGCATAGCAGCAGGTGATCCCAATGAGCTCAGCGTTTGAGTCCTCCGCGGAGGTAATAACGGAGGTCACCACGTAGTTCAGGAGGTTATTCACTGTACGGCAGCCAAAGTAGCGCAGGTATCCCGACGGTAGTGCTGGCTGCGCGCCCTGGTTGTCTCCTGTTGGGGAGTATTTATAATTTAAAACGCGTCTTTTGTGAATTCCGCATTCATTTAATCAAGACATCTAGCCAGGCGACGTGGTTTTGCAAAATATTCATCATGCGGGGTATTGAATAAATAAGATTTCATGGCATCGTTCATTGAAAACTTATGAATTACTGCACTACACTAGAAGGTGGGACATGGTCGGTGCTTGTCATCACGCGAACTGCACACGTTCCAAAGATTTGCGAGTTGATTGCTAAACAGATGCACTTGCCAGGTATAAAATCAGCTGACTTTTATACCCAGCTGCCAAGCTGTATCGAACACTGCGGTTCATGAAGATTGAGAAGAAATAAGCGACATGCATTTTGTATTCATGCATTTAATACCGCATTTATTCTAAACCCCAGGAACTGAAACCGTCGAGATGCCTACTCTATACGCTCGCACTTATTTCAGTTCGTTTGTTTTGAAAATTATTACTGTGCGCATCTCGGAAATGTAACCGCATGGAATAGTTTGGAATGTGTCTAAGAGAAGGTTGAAAATGGCAGGTTTTACACACGCATGATTTGCTAAAAGTACTGCTGAAGTGCCGAAGTACACACTGTAAGCAAGTCAAAGAAACAGACCATTTCAATCCAATTTCATGTTGCGTAGTTGCACACCAGTCAAAAAAAAAAAAAATTCAGTAAATCTCGCTTCGAATCACCGACATGTGGATCAGCCTCCCTGATTACATCGTTGGCGCTCCAAGTATGAACGCGTTCAAGAACAGACTAGATAAAGCTATGGAAAAATATATGTTCAGACTTGAAATGCCTAGCACCATACCGAACCCGGTGGAAGTCTAGTAGCTATTTCAAACTATCGTCAGTCTTGAAAAGATCCGGTCAAATAACACGATTTTAGATCTTCTGTGAACAAGTCACGAAAAGTACAAGAATCGGCGACTGGCCACATCAGGCCTACTCTTCAGCGCCGACATCATTATGATACGTTAGGTTATGTTATCAATACACGTCGATTCGCTTGTTGCCTTTTCTTCAATTTTCTCAACTTGGAATTCCAATACCTGCACATATGATTCCGGCGTAATTATATGTTTTATTAGTTTATCATTATTAGTTTATTATTTTTCCGGCGTAATGATTAGCACATACGAGTCTAGTCCATTAGCGATTTTCTTTGGTTTATTAATACAGCTGTGCGTAGCGCGCAACAGCGCACTTCGCTATAACCTCACAAAACTCTTGCATCAGATTGGCGTAGCACAGGGGATCAGGAGAAACCCTGCTTAAATCAAACATGCCCTACAGTGTGACGTTTCTGTAGCCAAAAGTACAAATTTTAGTTTCCATCTCCGGTACGATTGTCTGAAAGTTTTTGGAATGTCTCCGTATTTTTTAACGAAAACACTCTGAAATAACAATAATTTTTATTTACCATGAAAAAGCTTTTTCATAAATTTTCTATGTTCGTTTGATTCTAAATTGTCATTTTATTTTTTACTCAATATTTTTTTAATTTAGTCGCACGAATTGGTCATACTTGTATTCTTCGCTTTTGAACTGGTAATGGAGCTATTCCCAAAAACAGTATTACGTAGAATAGGGTAAATTTCTTGGCATTTTGCTGTTTCTTTGCTATTTAAGTAACTACGTATTTAACCCGAATTTTTCTCGGAATAAGATAATCCTATTTTATATTGTTTAAAATGCAGTTTTTTCTCATCGCTAGTGTGCCATCTGCTATAGAATTAGAAGTTCTGTCAATCAATCAAAACAAGGATTTTTGGCACAGTGTGTAGCCGAGCGTTACCTGCGAAGCATTTGGTCGTGTTGAGCGCACACGGAGGCACTGGTGGAGCGCACGGGCCTGAGCCTCCCGCGAAACCTGCAAACCAAGTCATATATCGGCTTCACGTGGCACAAAAATCGCAAAGCCTTATTTACACGAACATTGCACTTTATTTGCGGATATCTTATCAACAATTATTATTTCTTTGGCGCGAGTTTGGGTAAAGATTACCTGCGTAAACGCTGCCAGAAGCTGTGCAGTTCCACGTACGGGCCGTGGCAGTTCCTGCCATGGAAACAATTGTTCTGGATTTAGGATAAATTTGTCACCATATTAGAGCTCTGCGATTCAATTGGAAAGATTATTAAATAGCGCTAAAATTCCCTTTTCAATCACCAGAAAAAAATTTAGAAATTTTTTTGTTGTATACCCACGCACCAGTCAAGGCTCCTCGGAAGGTAGTGGTAGTGTTCTCACACACGAGGAAGTGATCCTTCCTGACCTTACCACCCGACACCGGCACCTGCACTACGTACGCCCCCACAGGCCGCTGTGTTGCCCCGCAGTTCTCGTTACCCGCCGGGTGAAGGCCGGGCTGCAGCGGTGGCAGGGTGACCGGGGGACCTGCTGTTGTTGTAATACTAGTATTTTTTTTAATTAGTTCGGAAAAATTATTGTAGAATTTAACAAAATATCAGTCGTATTGCCGTAAGATTTGCCACTGCATGATTTCAGACCGACCGTACAAGTTCGCAAAGTTACTCGTTCCCGTCGAGTAGAGTTTAGACTTGGATATTATTTTGGATATATTGTAATTATTTGTTTCTTATTTACTGAACCGATTGCAACCTAGTGAAGAGATAGTTTTAAAAACATTACATTGAAATTTATTTTTAATCAAGATAAAATTGTTTTTTTTTATGCTTACCAGTTTTCATATCTCATCCAAATACTAGTGCCGCGACTCGTTTCACATCAACATCTCTCGTAAAGTTTATTAATACCTGTAACACAATTATTGGTCCGATTTTTTACTTTTTTCCAGGACTTGATTCTCTCGTGAGGTCGTCATGGTTTTAGTTGTAGTCAATCACAGGAATTTGCCGCCAGACGAGAATCTCACAACGAACGACAACAGACAACAGGAATACAAGTGTATTATTCCCACAAAAGTGTATTATTCACCCAAGTGTAACACAAGTGTATTATTCACCCAAGTGCAACACAAGTGTATCATTCACAGAAGCGTAACACAAGTGTATTATTCACACAAGTGTAACGCAAGCGTATTTTTCTCCTCTTGGCCAGGAGGGGAATAATGCACCATGAAAATTTCAATGAGAGCTATGAGTTTTTTGAAGCACCATGCAGACGTGTGATGTCGCCCGTGAGTTTAGAACGACTCTTTTCTTAGCCTACATACGTATGTGGATTTACGTCAAGTCGCTGGTCTGGCAAAGCGACGCAATTTACAAAAGTTTAGGTACAACGGTTGTTTAGTGATATGTATACATTAAACAATCCTCATCCGTTATAGCATCAAAATAGTGCACTAGACACGTGCGACAATGACACATCCATTTATACAATCAGCGCCCCGCGGAAGTTTCGCAACGAAAAGATCTCGAATAAAAATCACAGCAGGGTGGCCCACTGGTTACAGTTCAGCAGGATTTACGCTGAAAGGTGCGGATTCGACCCTAAATCTGTGCGTCAGTTTCTGGTCAGAATCGGTGAGGAAGCCAGGCGGTTAAGCAAAGCAAAATTGGAGAAGTGAGCTGCGTGTTCGAGACCGCAACAAGCTGTGAATGTTCTTCGATGTTATATTAGATTATCAGTATTAGATTTTTAAATAGTTTTCAGACGTATTCCCCAAGCCAATAAGGAGTAAACACGGTTTAGCCTGTCACAGCAGCTCGTCGCACTGAGTTATAATTGCAATTAATAAAACTCATCAGAACTCCCTAATGAATACTTGAAGAGACAAATAGCGATTCATGCAGTAAATAGACAGTAAAAAGCTATAAAACGAGTTTATATACTTTGATTACTTAGTTAAATGAATCCATTCTTAATTTATTGCAAAAAAAACATGTTGTTGTTGATACACTTATTGGGATTATAATCACTAAACAAGCTAATTACCTGTAGAAGGAGGTTCTGAAGTTGTGGTCGTCATGCCGGCACCTAGTGGTGTATGTGATATTATGTTATTGCAATCGAATCTGCGCAAAATAAGTACAATATACTATAACATTCTTTCTACTATCAGGAAATTTTGCGGTGTCATCCATTAACCAAAGACTACCATATGATATTAGGCTGAACTTGTCATATACAGTGGGGGGAAATAAATATTCGTACACTTGAAAAATCGTATTTTAATGTATGTATGTACACAAACTTAGCAGGATAAGTGATTTAAATTATGTATAGAGACGCATAGTATTCAAAAATACTATCAAAAGAAATTAAATCTCAATGCAACAAAAAACAATGCAACATGTTCAGAACATGTTGCATTGTTTTTTGTTGCATTGAGATTTAATTTCTTTTGATAGTATTTTTGAATACTATGCGTCTCTATACATAATTTAAATCACTTTTCCTGTTAAGTTTGTGTACTTACATACATTAAAATACGATTTTTCAAGTGTACGAATATTTATTTCCCCCCACTGTATATATAATATAAAAAATCTAAATTTAATTCTTTCATTTGAGAAACCTGAGTAGGTTTAACAAAAAAAATTTATATGACGGAATTTTCTAGGATTAGGATACGTAATGTCATTTTTTTATTTCCAACTCATACAGAGGTGATAAAGTAGCATTTCAGATGGCACTGTGAATTTTGGAACTATCGTATGATACAAGAAAATAAATACGAGCTAATAAATCATGGGAAGGCAACGTAAGTAAAATGATATATTGAATAAATGCAGCACTGAGGGAGCTGTAATTCACTTATAATTATAAGTGAATTCTTGATGTTAACAGAAGAAGCATCAAACAGTTTCTCTGATTTCACCGACATGAATACATCACAGTAAATTTATCAGATATATTTGCTTTGTACCGTCATAGTAGCAGGACGCGTTGGCGTCGGTGCCGGGCTGCAGCGGCAGCACGGTGCTGTACAGCTGGCAGCTCAGCTGGGCGCCGCCCCAGGAGAAGCCCACACAGAGCACTCCTGCACGCCAGAAAATTTAGCCTCTCTAAGATAGTATTCATGTAACTTCCGTGCACTCAAGTCTCATTAAGCTTAGTCCACAGTGCTGGTGACCTCACAGTCCTCACACAGCTATCTCATAAAATTGAGTGTACTGTGCTGGTGACCGCGCAGTCCTCACGCCACTTTGTCGCCGTCCCCTTAAACTTTGTTTTGATCAACTAAATTTTGATAGTGGTAATATTAATTACTGTTGCTTAGTTTAATGCATCCCAAACTTTTTACCTGTTCTTCACTCTGAAAGAATTGAAGATTTTTAAGCTCCCCCAGAAAAATATGCTCGTACCTGTTTGGACGCAACACAGTCCCGCGCAGGGCGCTGAGGCCAGTACCTGTTTGGCCGCAACACAGTCCCGCGCAGGGCGCTGAGGCCCGTACCTGTTTGCCGCGACACAGTCCCCCGCAGGACGCTGAGGCCCGTATCTGTTTGGCCGCAACACAGTTCCCCGCAGGGCGCTGAGGCCCGTACCTGTTTGGCCGCAACACAATCCCCCGCAGGGCGCTGAGGCCAGTACCTGTTTGGCCGCGACACAGTCCCCCGCAGGACGCTGAGGCCCGTACCTGTTTGGCCGCAACACAGTCCCGCGCAGGGCGCTGAGGCCCGTACCTGTTTGGCCGCAACACAGTCCCGCGCAGGACGCTGAGCCCCGTACCTGTTTGGCCGCAACACAGTCCCGCGCAGGACGCTGAGCCCCGTACCTGTTTGGCCGCTACACAGTCCCGCGCAGAGAACAGTTCTGTCGACGTTGTGGGCTGCGATGAGCGAGCCCTGGCAGCCCGAAGAATGCAATTTTTTGAAGACACGATTGCTCGTTGACACAGATAAACCTATGAGGATGGTCTCTAAGAAAATTCCCGATGAGACGATCTTAGCAATCATTTTTATTTATGTTACTTTCTGTGTTCGTAAAGTTACAAAAAGTTACAGTAAAATTATGGGATCGGGACAAATTTCTTTAGGATTTGACGAGTTAGTTATTCCTAATGCGCGTTCACTGGAAGTTGTCCAATTTTTAGAACCGATAGCGAAATCTTTAGTTTCCTGTCAGAACTAGTTTTACTGGAATACGTGTCTTTGCATACCAATTTAATTCAAGCCATATTCACCATAATTCAAATTTGACGGGAGTCAGAATTACGAGTTAACGGAAGATGTCTGGGTCGTGTGGACGAGTTTGTGCTCGCACTCTCAGCGTCTCGACTGATGGCTTGGCTTTTAAGCCTCTACAATCAATACAGTGAATGCCCATAGAGCGGCGAAACGAGTCACGGTCATAGTGGTGTCTCCCAATCTTCGATTAGACCATTAGAGCTTCAAATGCCACGTATTGAATACCGTTCAAACCAAATTTAATTTATTTTGATTTAAATTAATTTATCAAAAATTTAATTTTTCAATGAAACTTCTATGATAATGGCAACCAAAATCATAATGGTGTAATATAATAAAACTTTGAAAATTCTCTCATAAAATGTTTATCATCAGAAGACATACGTTTAATTTTATTCCTTTCAAACTCTTATTTATCCCACATATAGCTACTATGCAATGCATTTATAAAAAAAAACATTCCAATTTTGTGGAATATTAAATTCAAGGAGTATCTTTGAGTATCTGGGTGGCGGGAAACAGTTTTTTTCGGAAATCACTATCTGATTTTAATTGTTTGTTTTTGTAGAGACCTGCCTAATGAATTCCCTTCAAAAGATTTCCATATCAAACAATTTTTGAGTTGCGTCCAAGCCGTTAAATCTTGCAGCTTTATACCTAGTAGCCTATGGGAATAAAATTTCCCGGTCACGCTTTTTCATATAGTTAACATTAAAGCAATCTAGTAGCAATGTGAGACGGCGAAAAAGTGTCATACGTGCCTCTCCTGAGCAAGAGGATTACTGATTAACGTAAAAGAAGCAAACATTTTAATCAATGCAATTTTTAATCACAAGTCAGCACACAATTTTATGAACATTTCAGGTGGTCTATTCAATCGATTCTACATATGAAAGAATTAATTTTCATTATATAATAGCCTATTCCCAATCCAATTCAATTCCATGCAAGATTTTCGTGTGAAAATCATTATAAAGTTCCCACGTAAGAGTTCACGGTTAGTACTAAAAGAACGCGTTTTTTTTTTTCATTAGCGTCGACTTTCAGTGAATATTTGTAAAGAGAGAAAGTCTCTTTATGCCAAATGAAGACATTTCTCTGCTTGACTTGATTCTATTTCTTATGTAGCCGTCCGGCTTGCGTTCTCCCCATACTGTTTGTAATGCCAGTGTTACGATTCATATGCTAATTCCATTGCTTGCGTGTGATAAGGGAACGTTGTCAACCGACGTTTTTGATTGATGAAATTGTTTATTTGTTCATCTGAGACCCACTTCATCAATGACAGTCTGTCTCACCTGATTGCTCCCAACTGATGAGACATAATAAGGGAAACAGAAAAATTAATTATTTTATTCTGGTGTAGGTCTTCTACCTATTGTGGCAATTACAGCCTCAATTCTCCGAGGTATTGTTTCGTACAAATTGTGAATTGGTTTCCAAAATAATTTTAACTAATTCTTAATTTATACATCACTCTGATCGATTTGAAGCATTTATATTTGAGACCGGAGGTATTCTAAGTGCAGCTTTTCATTAGAATCTAGATTTGTGCATCTCACGCCGAAGCGTTTTTGTGTAAACTGGGTTCTGTAGGTGTCGATTGTGGTTTGCTATAATTTTAAGAGCCGGTGTCATTTGATTATACCTACTAATTAGTTTCAGAGGCTGATGTCCTCTCTCGCACAACTTCGACTTTCGGCCCAGTGCTTTGCTGAGGACGTTTCTGCTTTTTCTTTCAAAAGCAGTCATTTCTACGAAGACAGTGCCTCTTGACACGTCAATCATTCGGAAAGTTTCTGTCACACCATGGTTGAACTACACTAGTATTATTATTCAATCATGCTGCCACACGTACGTGCACCAATAATTTGGCCACGTTGAAACTCGGAATTGTTAATGGTGTTGCCATTTTTATTAGGTTTTACCCACAAAAATGATATAGAAAAATCTGTTAAAGCATAAAATATAAATAAGCAGCAATAATACATTAGCAATAAAACAATAAAATTGAAGTTTTCAAGTTTTTATTGCTTAAAACGTGTTCAAAAAGTATGATGTCCAAATGTTAGTGGTTTCCTTTATTTTTTGCCCTACCCCTGTGTATTCAGCAGTTTCAGACTAATATCTGTTCCCATCTCTCCAGGAGCAGTTTACTGATCCCTCCAGCAGTGCTTAGTCAGCGGAGAGTCAACAGCAAAGGCTTAATTAAAAAAATATTAGAACTTTAGCGGTGACCTCATGAGCCGCAGGCATGAGTTCCTTGTCATCTAGTAAAACATGGTTGAAATAATACAATTAATTTTGTATACGTTATTACTATGCTAAATATTTATAGTAATTTATTAGTTCAACCATGCTAATAACCGGCTTTACCGGCGAAGCCTCCCGGAGCGCCAGTAGAATGGAGGCCTATCAAAGGATCAACTTGTGGGTCGATCTGTTTACACTTCATGAGTGTGATCGAGTGTTGCGATATAAATAATGATGACGTTGATAGAACACAATTCGTATTACCGATTACGGAGCTCCTAGTGCGGAACGCCGAACCTAATTTTCAGACGTAAACTTAATCAGGCTCATATAAACTGAATGTTAATCATTTGGTTCAGCAAAGTACCGATTACCGAACTACAAAATAAAATGTAGTTTATGGGAGATGGATTCGCTGCTGGAGATAAATTAATGTTTGCCACAACTATGGCTTGGACGGGGAACGCAGCCGTGCACCAATCAGCCCTGAAAGGAACGCCTAGCATATCTCCAGGTGACTACCAATTAGCAGCGGATTAAGATCATGATAGTCCATTCGAAGCACCGCAGTGGTGGTCTCCAACAGCCGTCCCGCTAGAACGCAAATGAAGAAAGTTTAAGCGTTTGCCCGTTTCGGAATTTTTAATGCCGGCTGTCGCTTTGGCATGATAGGCTTAAATTGCGCCATTCTTCATTGCAAATTTCAATAATAATAATTTCATATTAATAAGGAATCGATTGAAATATTCCACGCATTTTCGTCAAAATAATAAGCAAGCGTGAATCACGTGATTTATTAGCGTAACATTCTCTTAACTAAGCTGACATTACGTTTTCTAAGGAGATGCTTTATTCATGATAACCATGGAGTGAGCATTAAATGATATATTCGAAAAAAATTCATGTAATATTCACACTAAATTTTCCAACGCGAAATTCTGGTCATCTTGTAACGTTAAGAAGACGATAATCATTCATATCGATATGTCCAGAAACGTACGAGTATATAATACAAATGTGGTCGCAGCATGGGAGTGTGTGCGAGGTAAATGGGAACTCTCCTGAATCTGCGTGACCGTGGACTAAGAAGTCCTAAACTCATCATAAGATCGTAGAATTTAATACCGCCGGCAACATGAGAGATGCCACAGGCTGCTGCACAGACCGTATTTTTATAACTAGCGAATTTTAAATCATAGTTGCGAAATTTAAATGACATTCAACATATGTTGATTCAATACAAAATTCGCAGGTATTGCGAACTTTATAGCCTTTAAATTTGGTTGAATATTGCATCGTTGAGTTCCAAATATATCAGGAAACAATTTCGCTGAAGCCATTTTTCAATTGCACATTCTATTGGCTCGCTCAAATTCGTTGGAAATTCGAACCACTTCTAGGCTCACAAAAAAAAAGTTTTGTCAAAGACTAGGTACGGCATGCAGAATTTTAGTGGATCACGGATACAAAAACTCTGCTTATTAATTAAAAACGGTTTGAATATTTCTTTCATTAAATGTTTGTATGAAATAGCAGGACGGTTTTTATACGACAATTTATGGGAGACTGTAACATATAGGACGAACTCACATATGTACCCAACCAAGAGATAAAGTTCAATCTCGATCTTGAACTGAAAAAATTTTAGCCTGACTTAGTCCACTGAACTGTCCCAAGTCGTTCAATGATCCGGCGAGCTATTCACGTGCAAGATCACAATAGCAATTTTCCACTACAATTATGTTAATATCCAACCGGCTAAAAAAATGAGCTTCTTCCGACACATTGCCGGGCAAAAGATGTAACTGTAAAATAAATTATTGTGCAACATAACAATTCTTTCCGTTACACTCATGTATCAACTTGAAACGACACTCAATTAATGATTGGTTTGAAACCATTTATACAGATAAACCTACGTAAACAACTAATGAATTATGAAACAATATCCTGCTTGTAGCTTAGAGTGTAAAATAAAGGTGAATAAGAGTTGAGTACTTCACATCATGTACTGTGCGACTGTTGAGGCAGCAAACTACAAATTAATTGGCAATTACGCAAAACAGTTGGTCGAGTTACAATCAAATAAATAAGTTAAAACAAGAAGAGAATAAATACACAAGCTAAAATAAGTGAGCCGGATGTCGAATACGAAGATGCACACAATTAACTTGATATTTGCAAGATTAATTTATGGGGGCAAGAAATTAGCGCAATTAATTTTGTAGTTTGGGTATCGTTCAATTCACAGTCATCATACTTCATCCACAGTAGTATTGAATTTCCCGACTTTAGCTCTATCATGCAACACGCTGAACGGTTTCTTGTTCAGAGTTTTCATCATAATTGATCTTAACTCATCTCTAGACAACGGGATGGCCGCCCCAGTCACAGGGTCGTTGTATTCCTGCTCAATTTTGTGGAGAAGCTTGGTTAACTTCATGCCCTCGGCAGGCCCTGCACGCAAAATGCGCTTCAGAGAAGACCGCCACTTGAAAGCCTTGAGGCCCGTCACTGCATCCACGGACACAGACTCCAAATTGGCCAGATCTTCACCCCTGCTTCCTCCATGAGTTGGACGGCACATAATTGAATCATCAGGTTCATCAGTCGCACTCTGGCGGCCCTTGTTCTTCTTCCGTCGCTTTGATTTACTTTCCCGGGGTTCACTGGATACCTCTTCATCTTCTTCGTGTTCATCTGATGGGGAATTGGTAGCTGCTAAGCTGTCCCCATCAAAAGATACTTTCCTTTTTTTACTTTTGTGGGACGTTTCGTCAGGCAGGGAAGAGTGGTCAGTTTCTGGATTTTTTTGCAAGCTTTGCGTTTTTTGTTCTTTCATTTGCATATCATCAGCAACACCATTGGTCACTTTTTCTTCCAAGTTTTGTCCATTTTGTACAGCAGAAGAATTTTCTTTATCTGCGACATTTTCTGCACTTGCATTGTCAGCCACAGCCATCGCTCCTGACACCAACTCCCATAAACCCTGGACGATCTGCTCGCTGGATACATTCAGATTGGTGCGGACAAAATTCTGGAAAAAAAAATAATAATAATCACAGAGAATAGAAACTTTAGTGAGAGCTACACCATCAGCAATGAATGCCGATTACAAGAAAAGTAAACGTGAGAGAAAAAGAAGTTAGATCAATTATTTAAAAAATCCATTATTTTAAAGTAAGATTAGTCACTGAAAGCATGAGCATCGTCACATTTTTCAATTGAAAACCAGATCTATGACACTGCTGCAAACCTTGGTATAGAACATTCCTAGATATTGAATGAAAATTAGGTTCAACATTATAACAACAGCTGTTAGAACTTATTTATGGAGTTTTGGCGCATAAATATGGGAGCAAAAATTGACATGTCCACCAGATATGTAGCACAGACTTGAAGTAATCTACTAACCATGAATTTTTTCTCTTTCCTAGGAATGTTAGGCATTTCCAGCATCTTCCCGACCATTTTTTTCAAGAAAGGCTTTGTCTCTTGTTTATTAAGATGATTTTTGACCTTCTCCACCCATAAGGCATTCTTGTCCAATGATGTTTTAGGGACATGATGGCTGCCATGATACTTCTCACTTTCAGTGATGCACTGAGTATGCTCAGTAAAAGAGTAACCCCTGCAAAATACAGATGACAATTTAAAAAAATGCAAAAGAGACATACTTAAGATGGAGCAGCCTTGAAGTGCAAAGCTGCACTTACATATGCAAATAATTGTATCCAAGCTACTTCTGTTGGCAAAGAAAAACTATAAATAATAGAGTAGTACTGGGTAATTGAAGTTATTAGGACAGGATATGGATGTAAATGATAAAGAATAATTTGGGAACACTGATAGTGCCATTTTAAAAATTTAGTCAACAAATTTATACAAATTTTTGTGCTTCTACAGCAATATTTGAGCAAATTCTACATTAATGAATTAAACTCAGATTTTCAGAATATTCTATTTCTAATTACATAGAATTGTTTTTGTTTTTAACCTGCTTAGTGATGACGGAGCATTTTTAAAGACATTCACTTCATGTGTGAATGAAACTCAATACACTAAGAGGCATTCAGACACATAAAGTTCAAGAATCAGCGACAGGCCACATCAGGCCTACTCTTTAGCGCCAACATCACTATGTTATGTTATTTCATTACTATTTAAAACACCAGGACAAACAGAGGCATTTCCAGGTATAGATCATCTTACAAGAGTATTCTCTGTTATTCTTGTTTCAGACATAAATTATAAGAAATTGGCATCCAGTAGGAAATTGAATTGATAAATAATTGAATCAACATAATACATTATCATCCAAATTATCTTCATGAGCAATACAGCTCAATCATAAGTGAAAATAAGTAGAAGGAATCCTTACTGAAATTCTTTGCCACAGTCCATACAACTGAATGCCGAGTCTCTGCACCGGAATGTGTGCATTTTAGCTTGCTTGCTCTTGAAGGAGCTCCCACAAGCAGAGCAGACAAAAAACACCATTTCAGTGGATTTATTTGCAAATCTGAAAATAAAAAAATCAAATAATGAGGGTCCCATAATTAATTTATAAACATATCCAACTCCTTTCAAAGTTTTTTTATTTGCATGTGCTTTACTAAATCAGACTATAGAGTGTAATAAAGTTGAGTCTGGCTGCCTGTTTTCATATGATGAATATATAATTGGACTACAGCAGATGGCAACTACCACTCATGATATGCTAAAAATAAGTCAATTGAGCACTAGTGCTGTGCAAAGCAGCAAAAAAAAAAATGTTGCTTGTACCAAGCACACTCATCAATAATATTCCTAGAGCCTTAATGTTTGCAATTCAGAACCACTATGGTATCTGTCATAGCAACAGCTTATTTATGCCTACAGTTGGTATGGGCAAAACTTGTAAATGTAAATGCAATACCTTTTGAGCATAATGCTTGCACAAGGGCAGGCATACCGTAATGCTTGCACCCTGTAAATATACAGGGTGGGGCAGAACTGATTGAGCAGTTTTGAGGTAAAAAAAGAGTAATGGAGGTACATAAAGAAGAAAGTTTATTTTCCTAGAGGTTAGCATAACATACCATTTAGAATACTCATGTTTTGAAAACAATATCTGGAAGATGGGGGCTGTTAGCTGCAACACACTGTTGGAGTCGTTCTCAGAGGAGTAAGTAACCATGACAGTGAATTCCGATTGCTATGCTGCAATGTTGCAAAATTTATTGCAGCCCATGATGGAAAACATTGTTGAAAATGAAGCATTGGGAGACGTGTGGTTCCAGCAGGATGGGGCTACAGCTCACACAGCTCGAATGTCACTCAATGTTTTGAAACGCATGTTTCCCATAAGTCTGGTGTCTCTGAGGGGTGATTTACAGTGGCCTGCGAGGTCACCTGATTTGAGCATTCGCGATTTCTTTCTTTGGGGACATCTAAAAGAAAGGGGTTCAGAAGTCACCCTTACACCCTACCACAGCTAAGGGAACATATTGCAGCAGAGGTTATGGCCATACCTTGCCATATGTGTGAACGTGCTGTAGAAAACTTCCGAGAACAACTCCAACAGTGTGATGCAGCTAACAAACCCCATCTTCCTGATATTGTTTTCAAAACATAAGTATTTTAAATGGTATGTTATGCTAATCATGAGGAAAATAAACATTCTTCGTTATGTACCTCCATAACCCTTTTATTTCGCCTCAGAACTGTTCAATCAGTTCTGCCCCACCCTTTATAAGCTAGCTAACACATTTAAATTGTATATTGTAATCAATATATAACAAATAGTCAAATAGTTAGACTACTTATAGCCTTATAAGAATTAGCTAAGCTGCTAGCTACGTACAATGTATTGCACTCTTGATGCCTCTGTACCAAAAGCATTCAATTTATTGGAACCTAATACACACTAAAGGCAACAAGTTTATATACCAATTTGTCATTCATAGTACATTTATACTAAACCATGAATAACAATACCTCAATATATATTGCAGACTGCCACTCAATATTTTTAAATATATGAAAAAATAAAAAAAATAAAAAAAATCATGATTTTTTATAAAAAAATCAAGTGATTTAATCACATGATTTAATCATTTAGATTTAATCATTGCCAACCCTGCCTACCACATTGCATCTCTCACCACTATACAAAGGTAGGTGAGCTCATGATAGGCTGCTGCTAGTCTGATGTCATGCAGTTTACCGACTGCATTTGAATCTATGTGTTTATCTGTATGTGAACAATTTTTGCAAACCAACGAAATGATGCGATAATCTCCAATTATTTTATGGCATGTGGCAAATATTTAAGCACCATGAACATCTGGAGATGTCACACTCCCTGTGTAGGTGCAGGCCCTTATTATGGTGTTTATTGCTTGCTAGTAGTCCAGGCTTAGTTAATCATGTAGCATAACTCATTTTAAGGCTTCAGTGTTTCAACACTTTGACTCCAATTCCCAAAATAGCCAGAATTCCAGTGATGCGACTCATTCAAACTTGAATAACTTTAGTTACAGATATGACAGCAAGATGGGAGCTAGTGCTCTGCTCTTGTCTAAGTGAGTTCTACAAACTTCTTACATAAAAACCATGAGCCTCTATTGGTGCACATTGCCTGGAATGGAAACTTTTATCTTTATAGGCAACATGTGCCATATGAGGTACATGGCAACTACAATAAAAATTTGCATCACATCAGTATTGATGCTTGAAAAAAAACATTGTTTATGGGCAAATGGAATCAGAATGTAACTGCAATACTCAAACTACTAATCATTCTGGGATAAAATGCTGCAAATAGGAAGTTTATAATTCAATTAGATGATGTCTTACAAAACTGCACTGAGACAAAGCATGAAGTGGTACCGACAACTGTTCAAGTTGTCGCCAAAAACTGCTGTAGCAAATGCCTGGGTGCTTGGTGATCAGTTTTATAGTCAATAAAAAGTTGATGAAGTCGTTGAAGATGACTAAATGTATTGTCACTAGTAATAGGTCAGACACACAAAGAAATGTTTCTATGACCAAATCACAATTATTTAGATGTCTGCATTCCAGTGCTAAATTATTTGAAGCTGAGGATCTCAACTTCATAACGAGCTACTGCTCTGTGTTCTACTGAAATATAATTGCAAAAGAGGAAGTTAGTGCTGAAGTGAGATGGAAAGCTAGAAGAGTAACTACTAATTGCTATCCTACCGGTAGTGCTGGGAATCCATTTCACCATGTATCTTGCTTTTTCCAGTGGCATTTTGTGTGAGTTTAGGCAACTTTTGGATGTCTAGTAGGTACCTATTCTTCGACTTCTATAATCCATACCAATACTGAAAAAATATGTTTCATCATATTGGAATAGGATAACACCCTTTATTCAATACTTTTTATTTTTTGTACCTACTTCTTATTTCAGGCTAGATTATAGGTTTACAAAAGCATTATTGTCAATTCTCTATCATATTTTTCACATGTTGATGATCTGGCTGATATTTCAATGAGCTTTTCTAAAAAGTTGAATTTTTTAAGCGTGCGCCATATATGGCGCACATCACAGTTTCGGACATGCATGCGTGTACCATATATGGCGCACATTGCAGTCAATGTGTTAATAGATAGTATCAACTGGTTGAGTGAATGGTTTTAAGCTGTTTTAATGCTGCTGCTTTGGCCAATAAAAATTTGCGTAAATCCTTCAGCTAGCCCTATCTCAATCATACAAACCAATTGAGAAGAACACTGTTGCAACGACATAGTGATGATGTCAAAGTTGATAATGGAAAAAGATTTAGGAGTTAATATTGACAATGAGCTGAAATTTTCTAAGCATATTGAAGGTCAAGTTAATAAAGCCAATAAATGACTTGGTCTGATGACTCTGATCAGATGCTCTTTCAAGTTCCTAGATGCAGAAGCAATGAAACAGTTGTTTGCTGCTGTCGTGCGCCCAAACCTAGAGTTTGGAAACGTCATGTGGTCACCAAAACTTGACAAGGACAAAAATTTAATAGAGAGTGTTCAAAGACGGCAACAAGGATAATTCCGGGCTTGAAAGGCAAGTCCTATGAGGAAAGGTTAAAGATTATGAAGCTTCCAATCCTCAGTTATTGACGTCTGCGTGGGGAACTCATTAAAGCATACAAGTATACTCATGGCTTATACAAGGTCCCAGAAGGATTACTAGAATTTGTAACAAGAACAAACACCAGGGGCCACGGCTATAAACTAAAAAACTGCGTTGTAACACATCCATGCAACATTTCTTCTGGCTTTGAGTCACCGACATGTGGAACAGCCTCCCTGATAGCATCGTTGATGCTCCGAGTATGAACGCCTTCAAGAATAGACTAGACTAAGCTATGCAGGAGCATATGTTCAGTCTTAAAATGCTTAGCAAATTACAGACCAGGCAACAATTCCAGCAGCTATCTCAATCAATTGTCAGTTATGGAAAGATTGGGTTCCAAAGGCCGGATCCCTTGTTTATCAAGTCATGAAAAATTCAAGAATTGGCAACAGGCCACAGGCGATGGGCCTATTTCTTCAGTGCCAACACTTCTATTCTATTCCAAAATAAAAATATCACATGAAAAAAATTTCCTTAAGAAAGTTTAGTTCTAACTTCTAAGTGAAAAAAACTGGTGTAATCTGTCCGATTATTTTTGCAAGCTTCAATACATATGATGGTTGCGTTGTCCCTGAGCTTAACATTTTACATCCGCTTGTATTGCACTGTTGAATCATAATTTTATTGTCTCAGGTCTTGTATCACTGGTTGGCAGTCGTTGTGTCAAGTCTCGCTAGTTGGCAGTTGTATCGTGTTGCCGGTGTTGGACTCTCAGGTCTCACTACTAGTTGGCAGACAGCAGTCGTCATAAGTTTATCACGGATTATGCGGCAGATAAGTCTCACTAGTTGGCAGTAGTTTAAAATCATAAATCGCCTATTATTTTAGCTTGCCAGTTGTTGTAAAGTTTAATAAATTGGTCAATAACTTCAGCAAAAGTCTTTAAGATTCTGACAACTAAATTTCACTGTATGACAGTGTATGAGACCAGAGACCTGGCTCACGCCGCACCTTCCAGACCACGGTGAATGCGACGGCACGCCAATGTAAGGTCAAGATGGCTGATGAAGATCCTCAAAAGACATCAATGTAAGCTAGTATGGAATATATCTACTTGGCGAGCCGCGACTGAATTTTTCGAGCCATGGTTTTATGGATTTGCCAGCCGTGATTCCATTTCTACGAGCNGCTCATCATATTTTTTGTTTTTCAGAATCCTTTGCGGGCTTCAGTACAAAAACCTTTTTTTCTTCAAGAAAACCTGCTAGTCGATGTGAACAACATCTGGCTACCTCATACTCCAGTGAACCTGAAGAAGACTCAGAGGAGCAAGAGGATATTTTGGACCCACAGTTCACAATAACGCTAGAAACAAGTTCAGATAGTGAGTTTGAAGAAGAAAACGAATCGCTCTTGATTGAAATTAACAGTATAGAAGGCGGGGAAAACTCTCAACAACGTAATAGAAAGGCGCCAACGAGAATATTTTGGAATAAAATTGAAAATCGTCGCTCATCTTACGACATTCCTCCATTTTCTCATGCTCCTGATGTTGACACAGTTCTGGAAGCTCCTCTGACTCTTTTCAAATCCTTCATTTCCGATGATGTTATTGAAGAAATTTGCTACCAAACCAACTTGTACGCTATGCAAAAAAATCCTTCAAAGCCCCTCAACCTTACCCCATTAGAATTATCGCAGTGGATGGGGATAAGCATGCAAATGTCTATTACCAGGATGATGCATACACGGCTTCATTGGGCAAAATATTCCTTGAATGAAAAGATATCTTCCGTAATGTCTCGCAAAAGGTGGGAAGATATCAAAGCCAATCTTCATCTTGTAGACAATGACACTTTGGATTCAACGGACAAGCTAGCGAAGGTGAGATTTCTTTTGAATGCATTACGCGAAAAATTAAAAAAAAATACCAATGGAAGAACATCTAGCTGTGGACGAACAAATGGTTCCCTTCAAAGGAGCTTCTTCACTGAAGCAATACATTCCCAAAAAACCATCAAAATGGGGCTATAAGATTTTCGTCTTAGCTGGTAGCTCTGGTATGGTGTACGACTTCATTCCCTACGTTGGCAAAATTCTTCCGGTTGCACGCTCCGGAATTCCTGACCTTGGTGCAAGCGCAAACTTGTTCTTCAGCTTGCCCAGTGCATTCCTGACGGAAGACATTATAAACTCTATTTTGACAACTGGTTTTCATCGGTGAAATTAGTAGAGCACCTTGCCACTAGGAAGATTTGGGCATGTGGTACCGTACAGGAACGCAGATTGGCTGGATTGAAATTCATAGACGACAAGCAGCTACGAAAACTCAATCGTGGTGCCTTTGATGAGCACGAAACACAAGCAGGAAGTAGTGCCATCACTGCTGTAAAATGGAATGACAGCCGGTCTGTTTGTCTATTGTCCAGTTTTGTGACATCGCATCCTGTAACTCAGTGGTTCCCAAACTTTTTCAGGCTGGCGCCCCCTCTGGCTCTTTAGTAAATTTCTAGCGCCCCCCACAGACACAAATAAAATCATGCGCCATTTTCTATAAAATTTAGGACGCTGTAATTTCAAAAGATAAAGGTTTAACACAAATGCGTATTTCACAAATTGAACCCCTTTTAGTTAACCAATATGTTTTTCAGCTGTTTTACTAGAAACCTACGACGTCTCGGGCAAATTTACCGGACTCGTGGCCGGTCTCACGACCCATGGTTGAACTAGTAGTAGTATATAGTTCAACCATGTCACGACCAATCTCCAAATTCAATTATCAAGTAATATCTCCAAACTAATGAAAGCAGCTCAATGAAACTTGGAACATGTATTCATCAGAACTTAACGGTGATGTTTAGCATGCGAAAATTTTTTAAATATTACCTTCATTCGTGAGTTATATTGCGATACAGGCCGAAATTCGCAGTGATCAAAGAATTTCTTCGAAACTACCGAACAGATTTGAACGAAATTTTGAATATGCATTCCTAACTACCAAATGGTGTTTTTTAGATTACAAAAATTTTTGATTTTACCTTCGTTTGCGAGATTTTTTTTTCATTTCACCGTCATTCTTAATTTCACACTTCCTTATTTTCTTTCGTTAGCAAGTTATACAGATATAGGAGGAACGACCGGCTTTTCTAGCGGCCGGTTTAAAAAAGAGCCGTTTACGTATAGGCGTATATGTATAGCCGTATAACTCGCGAACGAAGGCGAAAAGAAAAAATTGTAACGAGCTAAACATCACCGTTGCCGAGGTTAGGTATTAAAATGCTAAATTTAGTTTAAATCTTTTCAGTAGTTTGGAAAAAATTTCTTGATTTCTGCGAATTTAAGCACGTATAGCTGTTTAAATTACGAATGAAACTCGAGAACGCAGGCACAATTGAAAAAATGTTCACGAGCTAAACATCACCGTTCGGCAGTTAGGACTGTAAATTCAAAATTTCGTTCGAATCTGTTCAGTAGTTGGGAAGAAATGCCTTGATCACTGTGAATTTCGGCCCGTATTGCCATATAACTATGGCAAAAACAATTGAAGGCAAAATTTAAAAAATTGTCACGAGCTTTACATTACCGTTAGGTCCTAATGAATACGTGTACCAAGTTTCATCGAGTTAAGTTCATTAGTTTGAGAGGTATTTCTTGATAATTGAATTTGGAAATTGGCCGTGAGACCGGCTGCGAGTCCGGCCGTTAATTTGTCGGAGACGTAAACCCAGGAGAGGTTTAAAAATATAACTCAGTACTCACTGCAGTAAGTGACAGAGAGCGCATTTTCTCGTCGACGAAAACGTGAAGTCACGGACGGACAGACAGGCGGACAGACAGACAGGCGGACAGACAGACGGACGGACATGGCGAGCACAATAGTGCCTTTTTTTCATAAATGAGAAAATGCGCTAAAAACAGATCTGGGTGAAAAAACCATCGCTTGGAGTCATGTGCTGCACGTGTTGTGTACAAATCGTCAAACAAACGTTCGAACTTCGACTTCGGACTGCCGCCCCCCTATCGCCCCCCTATTGTCCTTTCCTTCTTTACCGCCCCCAAAATCTTTCGACCGCCCCTAGGGGGGCGATATCGCCCACTTTGGGAACCACTGCTGTAACTGAAGCCAGGAGATTAGACAAGAAAAAACGAGAGTATACAAATATCTCAATCCCAAACATCGTATCGACCTACAATAAGCACATGGGTGGAGTCGACCTTCATGACCAGATGATGTCATACTATAGAATGAGTTTCAGATCTAAAAAGTACTACATGAGATTGATCTTCCACATGCTTGATATGGCTGTCGTGAACAGCTNATAGATTTTCTGAAGTACTCTGAAGTACCCCTTTTTAGCCGTTTTCTATGAATTTCACGTTTTCTATCAATTTTTTCGAAAAATTCATAGGAGCAAAATGTTTTTATTTTTACATTTTACGTATGTATGTGAAGTTTCATGACAATCGGATAATAACTGTAGAAGTTTTCAAAATGCCAGGTCGATCCCCTTAACAAGAAACTACCGAAAAAAAAAAATTTTTTGCTTGCTTTAAAAAATGTGGTCCATAAAGGGTTAAATGAGAAGTCAATGTTTATAAATGAATCATATAACGCAAAGCGAATGTTTTTGCCATGATTTCAAATCTATGTTCAAATTATATCATTTTTCGGTCTTTTCAATAGATATATTACATTTTTATCAACAATCGAGCAAATTTTCTTGTTTGGCGGTATCTTGTGAAGCCTGTGTTTACGACATTGGTATACGTATAACAGCAGTTTAGTTGATCGAGATCTAATATGGCGTGCGTTGACTCAATAATATTTTAAAGATTTATTAAGTTCTGCGTGTTTCAAGGTATGTGTTTGTAGTATATTTCAACAGAATGTTGTATATTTAGACGAATGTCATGTATTTATTCTGGTTTTTCATGTCATTGCGCGTTTAACTTTGAAAAATCTCTGATCTACGTTACAATGGCCCATGGGTGATTACATCTGGTACATGTCGCAATTTAGCTAACAACAAATCTAAAACAAATATAGGAATTTTGTACAGTAGAATATATCAGAATATTTTTTAATTTATATGGATCTTGATTTACCTATTCATAATGCATCTTCTAATTTCATTATAATATATTTTGCTAACGATTGACAGGGGTGATTTTTAGTTTCAATTTTTTATCTGTTCATTTCTGTATCATCATAATGTGTGCTTTCTGAAATTCTGAGTATTGAGTACTGTAAAATGGGGTAACTTTGACCACTTTTTTGTCAAAAGGATGCCATTTTTTTACTAGATAAGTTAAACTTGAATTGAAACGTGAAAAATACAGGTCTATACTCTAGCTTCACTCACCATAAGGTCGTGGCAAGACAAGACAAGGAGTACAAGAAAACAATCACAATGAGTTTTACAATAAAATCACAGAATCTGCACCGACATCCTAGGAGAGAATTAGGGCTAGAAATAGTGCAACTCAATTGTCATGGGCTATATGGGAAACTCACTGAGTTTAAGTTGTATCTTTACAAGGAGAAGCCAGACGTGGTCTGCCTTTGTGAGACGTGGGTCCAAACACGTGAGCCCTCTTTTGTTGGATACTTTGTTTTGTGGTCTTTTTCTTAACAATAATTGCTGTCAATGCCAATGCTGATCAGTACCAGTAGTTTGCCCTGATTGCCTAGCATTGATAATTCCTGGAATTTTTTAATCCCTTTATCCCCACCCTATCTTTTTTATTATGCTTTATCTCTTTAAAAATAATCTAGTTTAAATAATAATATAAATGTTAATTAGAAGAAAATATCCATGTCAGAGTAAACGTGGTATATTCTGACACATTAAGGACGCATTGGGAAATGAAAAACTAAAAAATAACCGTATGCATTACTAGAGTTATGTTGGCTTTACGTGACTTGCAAAACACCATACTACACGCCAGCAACAATGAAACGTCACAAAATGTTGCCATATTTATTTAACCCTTTAGCGGGCAAGCATTGAAATATCCAGAAATTAAAGTTTCAGAAACCATTTCAAGAAAGTAAGAAGTATTATACAATATATTTATATTAAATTATTGCAAATTTTGCCTATTGAAGGTTTAAATCGCACTTGAAGAACTCAATAAATGCAATCAGTACACAAAATTTTTCTTTATAATTAAAATTCAGTTTATGCATACGCGTAGTGAAGTGTTTTGAGAGTCATGTGAAGGCAACAGAACTTACGTAACGCATACTGTTTTTTTTATAGTTTTTCATTTCTCGATGCGTCCTTAATGTGTCGGAATATACCGCGTTTACCCTATAAGACTCTGTAGAGTCTGAAACATAAAGAAAAAACATTAATAGGTGTATCAAACATAAAATATGTTATATAGGTACCTATGGTAATTTTAACTTAATTTCCAAGCCGGTCTATGTTACCCCATTGGGCCCATCAGGGCTGACATTAGGTGGTCAAAGTTCCCCCATTTGGGGGTGGCACCCCCCATTTGCAAACTATGCCACTTAACTAAAATTTGTCATTTGCATATGTAACTAGAAGAGTTCTACTACAAAGCATCAAAACCTGGAGTTATTTTACCAAAAAATAAAAAAATTGAAGGGGGTACTCCGACAGGCTTTAAATAACAGCTCTTTTTCATGAGTCACATTATTAATTTTTTACCCTATTAGATATGCAAACTTTTTAAATCTTTCTATTGTGTTACGTAGCCTCAGTATTAGGCCTTTGATGGCCATTGACAAAATTTTTCTATGTCAAATAGTTTTTGAGTTGTGAGGGTTTTTGTTAAAAAAATTAAAAGTGGTCAAAGTTACCCCGCCAGTCAAAGTAACCCCATTTTACGGTACCTACAAGCTACAACTACAAGTCAACTAGTTTATACAGCTGGCTGCTGGTATTGAACCCTCAACTTGCACTTGCTGCTCCAGTTCTGGTCCCTGAACTCTAACCACAGAACCATTCCTATCTATGTAGCTTAAAGCAAGTTGAGAAATCATACATTTACTACCTCTAAAAAATCCCTGAATAAAGGGTGAAAAGTGAGATTTTGGAAAAGTACCTCTGCTAAGGTCTGTAGCAAAAAAAATATTTGCCCTGTTGAAAAATTTTGCTTTCATAAAAGTTGCACATATGTGTTGGTTTAAAAACTTGATTGTTGGAATATACAGATCTCATTTCAAAAATAAATAGCGGCCATTTCCGCACAATGGGGTAAAAAGGGACACCCCTAAAAACGCATTTACAGGAGAACCTTGGTTAGCAAAGGCTTCCGTTAACAAAAAAAAGTCAATTAACAACAATGAATTTTGATTACATTAAATTCTACATAACAATAAAATAATGCATCATTCATCATTGGTCATCACAAAATTTTGCGTAGGATGTCATCGATAGAATTGTTCACTGGGCAACATAGAATAAAAAGTAATTAACCCAATCAATGATTTTTTCTCAAAAAATGTGATGGTTGTCAGTAAAATGTTCATTTCTGTTTCAGGTATGTTTTTATTTACAATCTTTTTTTTTTTTGTTATAGTGTACCGGTATTCACTTGACACAATTCAAATGGTGCAAAATTACAAGCCATCCTGTAAGCTTAGCTACAGAAAAAAGGCTACATGGCTGCTGATATGAAGCTTGAAGTAGACAAGGTTGTTGTCAATGCTCAATGGCATGTCCATGGATATGGTATCATGGTAATATCACCTCATTAATATGGTAATGTGTGGATAAAGTAATATATTAATAAAGGAAAAACATGTAAAAATCACAGAAAATATCATTTATTCTACATCTAATGATCTACATCACCTACAAAGGAAGAGGAGGACTTCAGAGTACTGTTAGTAATGGAGGAGTACACTCTGCATGCTTCAAATGTTTTAAAATTAAGTTTTATTTCAAGTGTGCCTTATTAACCCATTCCCAGGGTTAGTTCAGGAGGCTTTTATTGTGCATCTGAACCCTTACAAATAACATATGGAATTTTTTTAGAGATGCCATTTGATAGCCATCGCAAAGACTTTTAAAATGAGCCCAAACTTGTTTATGAAATTATGTTTCATGTTAAGAAGTTATTAACAAAAAATGCTCGAAACCGTCATTTATTACCTCATTTGTTGGTACTCCAGGGTGCGGAGGGTGCAAGCAGCATTGCCAATATATGGATTTTTAGTCCAAAGCGTTGCCAGCCATTGCCAAGATCTGTCGCTGGGTAATTTTCTATGAGAAAATGCTAACAACTTTGATAGTATATCCCTTACACCAGGCATGGAATATATCTACTTGGCAAGCTGCGACTGGATTTTTTGAGCCATGGCTTCTAGGGTTTGCCAGCCATGATTCCATTGCTTCAAGCTGTGAATTCCATATTGTGATATCTTGGCCGTGAAAAGCCATTTATGACCCACAAACTTGTTATTTACAAAGTCCCATGCACGTTTCTCTGTTTGACGGTATAGTATTGTATCAATGTATTGAAGAATAGGCCTATTGCCAGTTCCTGTACTTTTTTTGACTAGTTTACAGATCTAAAAGACTGGCTTTTTTATCAAATCTTTTCAACAGACAGTAGGTTTAAAATCATTTCTAGACTTTCACTTGTTCTCTAGGGTACTAGGCATTTCAAGACTAAACACATACTTCTGCATGGCTTTGTCTAGTCTATTTTTGAATGCTTTTCTAATTGGAGCGACAACAATATCTTCAGGGTTGGTGAATCAAAGAGATAAAAATTGTTGCTGCATGGATGAGCTGCAACATCAATGTGTGATTGTGAATTTGTGATACTTCATTTTTCTAGATTACAGATATAGTAACTTATCTATAATACTGTATGTAATAATATAAATAGATATTGTTCATGTTTTTGAAGATACTTGTCTGCAATGAACATAAAATTTCAGATATAAAGTCATATTTCCTGTAACTAAGGTAAATATCTAGTTTTCAGGCCTGTGTCTGTAGTTAGGTTCAATTTGGTACTGGGATGGGATGCAAATTAATTCCCTTAAAGACACTGATTGGCGCAGAGATGGCAATGTACAATAGTGGTAGACACAGGTGTGAAAAATATCTACTGTGCAAACTTTGTCTGGTGATTCTTTATAATTTTTGGGAACCTAAAGATTGGCATTAAATGAATTGTCAAGCTTTTTTCTGATTGTAATAAAACTTATTTTCTGAGCTTCAAATTTACTTAAAATGTGTCTTTAAAGCCAGAATATTACACTAAAAGTTTCACCTCTCCAATCTTTGCAGACAGTGGATACATAAAGTGTGCTTCTCAATAGATAGTTATTCATAATCAACATTGTTAATGCTGATAATTTCTGGCATCTAGATATATATAGGCTGTCAATTAATTGATGGAATGATTGTGCATCTATGCTTTTTTCCACTCAGCTCATTCAAATGCTGAAGCAAAATAGACAGTGGTGGCTAATCTATGCAATGAGGACAATTCACAGCAATCGAGCTCCCTTGCAATCCATTATAAAAAAGATGGGCTTTATGTGTGGTTGTTGATTTTTCCCCAAATGTACTGTGACAATAGGAATAGATTCCAGCTTCACAACCTGGCAAATTCTTGTCACCAGTCAAAATATATATGGTAGCAGGCTTCATTTTTTTGGCATCCAGGGTAAATTCTAAGGAGGTTGTAATGAAGTGATACATAATAGTTCAAAGTTTCCCTCAGAACTATGTACAAGAGTTGTTACTAAAAACACTATTTCAATTTGACATTTTTTCTGACCTTTTTTTACTTTTTTCAGGGCATTTATGAATGTGCTGGCAGTCATATCTGTAGTGTTGTCTCAGCACTTGAAATGTCATGGAAGAGATGATGTTTTACAGTGGATCTGAGGGTGAAGAGCTTCCTCTAATGGATACTGAGTAAGTTGATTTGCTTTTGTTTCAAATTTCTCTAGATTTTTTGTACTGGTAGCATAATAAGTTTTCTACAAAACTGCTTCTATTTGCTCTCCAAATTTAGATACACATACATATAATAATATGACACTAAAATACATAATATGACACTAAACGATATGTTTTTTATATTAGTTTTTTAGACTAGAATTTATTTTTTGTTTGAATGATCAACTTCTTCTGCAATAGTTTCTTTTCTAATATTGTTCACCCTGTTTTTTTCTTCTTTATGAGACATTTGTTGACACAAAATGTCAATATATACACTACATTGATGATGGGATGCTACAAAGTCATATGGATGTATGTGTGCAGGTGACAACCCACTGAGGAGTTGAATTTTGTTTATTTCACTGGTTGCATCATGGCGGAGCAGAGGGCTCTCACCGACACCATCCCTGACCAGCAGCAGCTGCAGATCCAAGGGCAAGTACAGCAAGGACACGCACAGTCAACTCCACATCATCAGCAGCAACAACGACAAATTCATCTGCATCAACAACACCAACAGCAGCAGCAGCAACAACAACAGCATCAGCAACAACAACAGCATCAGCAACAACAACAGCATCAGCAACAACAACAACAGCAGGCCATTCAGCAAGCTCAGCATCAACAGCAATTGCATCTGCACCAATTGCAACATCACCCGCTTCAACCAACTCTGTACAGCCACAACAACCAGCAACAGCAGCAACAATATGTGTTACTACACCAAGCTACTACTGTGGTTGTGCAGCAGGTAACTTAATCTCAGTACGGCACTTAAATTTTTTCTGCTTCTTCTATTTGTGTTCAATTTTTTTTTCTTAGTACTAGTTATTGCTTAACTTTCTTAGACCTTAGCTTGACAGCAATGTACATTCTGGCTTGAAAGCTTCTACCTGCTCTTGTTATTTCATTTCTACATTTTTGTCATTTCATTCTTCTACATTACATCTAACAATCTATTCTTATTATAAAATATCTTTATTGGTTTACCATATGGTATTTTACTACATTTTATAAGTGCTTCAGCTAATACACATTTAAATTCTTACATTAACAAGAATGCAAAGCCTTATTTTTTTGCACTCACTATTTACCGAGAACTCCTTTGCTCAGGTCTTGCAGCAACTGTTGGTAGGTGGCATAATGCAGCAGAGCCACCAAGGGCAACAGATGGGGGTTCACCAACGGCAGCAACATATCATCATGCAGCCACACAACAACAGCCTTCACAACAACTTTGTTCAACAGCCTTCACAACAAGAAATTATTGCCTCTCTGAGAGGCAACAAATTGAGGCAAGAGGCAATTGAGAGGCAAGAGGCAACAGAGGCAAATCAGGTGATTAATTTTCAACTGCTTACCTATTCATGGAAAGTTTGCTTCTGAAGATTTTTTAATTTTGGATGAATTACTTATATGATAAATATGTTTAAACTATTGTATTGAAAAATAAGTTACTCTCGTTTGACAGAGCTCAACATTCAACAGAGCTACTACCATGGATGTACATGCAATACTTTTTGCGCAATGCAGTCTTGAACTTTTATAAAATGATCATTTTATAACAATATTTACAAATTTTGCATATAAAAATGGTATTTATAGATCATTATTTGCGTTAATTGCAAAATGTTTGCTTTCGATTGAAAGCTCCAAACGATGCGCATTCAATAAAGCAAATATCACGGATGTATATGCAATAGTTTTTGCGTAATGCAGTTTTGAACTTGATTCAACTTATATAAAATTAATACCTATTTCAGTCAGGGGCTGAGGGCACTATGATCACTCGTCCTCAGTCTCTCGTTGAGCGTAGACAGGAGCCCACGCCCCACACTCTTCGGGGCATAGACCCTTCTGAAGGCTCGCGTCCCGTGGGGCTCCCGAGGGTACGGCATCCAGCGCCTGGGAGCGTTACGCGTACGCCCGAAAAAATCACCGTCGGCGGGACCATCCACTTCTGTGGTGATCTTCATCTTGACTTTCGGTGAGAGATAGCTAAATAGCTGAAGCGCTAGTAAACATTTGGCCACTAAACTAACTAACTAACGTCGCCGGCAACATTCTTATTACATGAAAATAATGGCAAAAATACTCATGAAAAACTTAGTACTTGTTTAATCCAGTTAACTTTAAACAAATCAAACGTCAGCCAGGAGCAGGAGCAGCCACCCTCTGGAGCAACAGCCCTCCAGGGAGCAGAGGATCAGCTCCCCACCACCCCATCAAGGAGCTGCACCCCGAGGGGCATTTCCTCCCGTCATATTGGCACTCTAGTTCCCTCCATATCACCTGCCCCGCCCCCCAGTCCCAGTTACACTCCCTCGCTCCTACGTCCCATTTTCACTCCCCCCCCACCCCCGGCCCATTTCCACGCATCCCCGTCCCATTGGCTCCCGAGGGTACGGCATCCAGCGCCTGGGAGCGTTACGCGTACGCCCGAAAAAATCACCGTCGGCGGGACCATCCACGTCTGTGGTGATCTTCATCTTGACTTTCGGTGAGAGATAGCTAAATAGCTGAAGCGCTAGTAAACATTTGGCCACTAAACTAACTAACTAACGTCGTGGACGCGGAGGGCGCCAGACCCCAGGAGGTGCCAGTTCAACCCCCAACATCGAAGGGGCCCGGCATCGTGGACGCGGAGGGCGCCAGACCCCAGGCGCCAGTTCATCTAGAGATCGCTCACCGCTTGGTGAGCGATCACTCAATGTGCCGTCACCGCGGCGTCGTCGTCCTATGCTTCACTTTATAAAAACTATCAGTACCAGGTAAATCACTGCAGCCTGTCAGGCATCTTTTGTTGAATCTTGATACAATGTTCTGTTGAATTAAAAATTAAAATTGTTGAATTAAAAAAATTGAATTCTGTTTAAAATTAAAAATTCTCTCTTTTTCTTTTCTTCTTTATTCTAATTTTTTCTTTAAATTATTGTGACTAACGTCTTCCGTGACATTTTTTTTGCAGTTCTACTGGACTGGTTAAGGAGCTTAATGAACTCGGAGTAGTTGAAGGAGCTGAAGGAGCTGAACCCGGAAGTTCGAATTTGTCTTCTGACGACTTATAATCACGATTGGTGATAAGTGATTAATCGAAATAAGTGATTAATCGAAAGGCTTAAATTAAAGTGAAACATGCTTAATACACTTCACATATGCTCTATTGAAGTGTAGCCCGAGTTGGTACTATAACTGTTAAACCTCATTTGCCTAACTTCATACATTTCAAGCTCTTGTGTCTTGTCATTGAAAAATCAGCATTACACTTGGCGCTCAAGTGGAAAGATAGCTCGGACTAATTAAGACTTTAGTGCCTAGTTTTAAGCGTTTGAAGTGACTAGCTTATTGTTGTTTGTTGAAGTTTTTTCTCTTCTATTATTATGTTTAGGGTAGGTCTCGATTAATAGAGGTTTTCTCTCTTACTTTCTGAGTATTATACGAGTAGTTAAAACATCTTTGTTATTCTGAAGCCTTCTGTGTAAATAATGTAAATATGTGAGGGAATTTATTTTACAAGGAAGAGAATTTAAACGAAACGCTTATGTACTTGTGTGTAAATATCTCGTCTAGGTTAGTTAAGTATTCTCTCAAGTTGACTTGAAAACTTCAAAGGCAGTGTGCTATTGCGAGTTGCTCTGGCCGGTGACAATAGTATCGATAATAATCAGTTGTTGACGCAATATATGAGGAGGTATTTATTATTTTATTTACTTTTAGCTTGTACAAACACGGCTGTTGACATTGCTTGGGTAAAATAAGGATCTCACATCAACTTGTGAAGGTGCGGTTCCTTCGGCTTCTGTTTTGTGTCCCGACGAGGAATCCTGACTCCATAATCACGTCGGCTTACTCTCTAGCACTGGCTTTCGGCACGAAACATAAGTGTCAGGCCCTTGCTGCCCATATGTAACGAGTAATCTTCCATTCCTTTTTCTCTTCTGGAACTAAATATCGCTTGTGTCTTCAGTAAATTCATAACAAATTTTATAACGTCACACCGCGAAAACTGTGAATAAAGTTTTCATAATTTATTCATAAATTCGAAATTTAGTTCGTCACTGTATTTCCATCAGTAATAATAGAAGTAATAAAAAAAATTGATATTTTGTTATTAAATCCGCTGCCGTAAAAAGTAAAGTAATTTCTTTTCTCTAATTTCGAAAAATGTATTGCTAGTGTTCGATCTGTTTCAGAGAGAGTTCGGTATTAAATTAGGTTATGAAATTCTTATCAAATTTCGTTGAGCTTATAGAGGTAAAAATGTTGCAATTACATACATGCATTGCAGTTCAAGATACTTTTCCATGTAATGATTGTTATTTTTGAGCAATCTAAGGACTCAACTACTGCCTGAATATTGTTTCTGTTTTCAACTATTGCCTGAATATTGCACCAAACCTAAGGATGTTCATCATGCTTTCCAAAGCATCGAAAAAAATCTCTTTGGTTTTTCCAAATTATTTTCTGCCACTGTTATTGTGAGATATTTAATGTTCTGACATCCTGTAATTATTACGTGTATCTCCCAACAAGATGTTATCAGTAATCGTCAATGTCATGGAAATGTAATCCTATTCTACTCGTTAATTTGTGCGACTAGGCATGCATTTCTGATAGGTTCTGATAATTATTTTTCCACTTAAGAGACTGAGTGCAATGAGCTTGAAATAGATCACCCATATTTTGCCGAGTATTGATTCAGCGCAGCCTGGATTCCTTATTACATAGTTTTTTATTTTGGTTTTTGTCATCATTTTGAATCTTCTGTTTAGCTAATGTATTTACTGTCACGACGCTGAAATATATTTAGTTTTTAAATGCAAAATGAGCATCTTGAGCTCAGCGAAATATTTGTTTCGCTACTGAATTTGTGTTCTCAGATACAGGGATTGGCAGCAATGTTGATGGCATTTCACTATTAATATTCGTTAAATAACGATCAAGCGATGGCCTCTGTAGCTTAAAAATATTGGGAAAATTCTTTAATTGCTAGAACTATTAAAAATACTAGCATTTTTAAAGAATATTTGTATTGCTCCGTTTATTCCCGATTTTCTAGCGTGTTAATGTAGCGATATTCAGAGTTGTAAGGCGATTGCTATCGTTGACGAATTCTTCTTACTTTCTAGTGGAAATTAATATTATTTTATGTTCAAGTTTTCTGGAGATTGAAGTTGGGTGGTTCTCTTCAACGCATAGAAATATATTTAATAGCAAACGTGCCTTTTAATTATGAAGTTGAATTATCATCTTGGTTGAGTTTATTTATAGCCAAAAGATTATAAGTCCCGTCTAGACCTTTGCGTTTTTTAACAAATACTACAAGCTAAGGCAACTCTTCTTGTATTTGCAATATGTATGTACCGACGTAAACATTCATCATGCACAAAGGTCTTTTCCACTTCTCAAAAGTCTCTTTGTTGGAAATTAGTGCCCCTTTCCTCGACGGGCTCACTGGTATGGTCGAAGATCAACATAACTAATATATTTACGCTAAAGTGAAGCTACTGGGGACGAAAAGTTACGAGCTCATGACTTGATAATATCATGGATAAATTTCTGCAACCTATCACGCAACAACATATTTTCTATTGTGTCGTCGACATGTGGGAGTGTGATCCTACGGACGGCATAGAGTATATGAACGCTTTTAAGAAAAGAGTGCTGTGTAACAATAGTGGTGGTATCACAGTTGCAGAATAAAGCGGTAGGGCTTCCGCCGAATTTTTGCTGCTTTTTCGAGGGTCTCGAACACACAGCTTGAATATCCACTCTGCTAAACCGGCCAACTGCTTTGCTAATTTTGACTAGAAACGTCAGGAATCTGGAATTGAATCTGGTTCTGTACTACTTCAATCCTAGCCGTCTGAACCATGGTTGAATTAATATAGACACCACTGCCAAGGTCTCCACAGAGCTAGTCAACCGTCGCACTCGTCAACGATCGTCCGCCAGGCTGCCTCAGGCAGCACCAGCCACCGGGGCACTGCTGAACCAAGCCAAGTCCTAACAGCGAGGTGAGCGAAAACCATGCTCTCCTAGAGGCGCCAAGACACGAGGCAGTGACAACGCGGAAATTGATTCGGGGCGACAACGCGGAAATTGACTCGGGGCGAGAACGCGGAAGCAGGCTCAGGGCGACAGCGCGAAAGTATCCTCGGGGCGATAACGAGGAAGTAAACTCGGGGCGATCACGAGGAAGTAAACTCGGGGCGACAACGCGGAAGTAAACGTAAGGCGACAACGCGGAAGTTGACTCGGTGCGACAACGCGGAAGTAAACTCAGGGCGACAACGCGGAAATTGACTCGGGGCGACAACGCGGAAATTGACTCGGGGCGACAACGCGGAGGCAGACTCGGGGCAACAACGCGACAGTATACTCGGGGCGACAACGAGGAAGTAAGCCCCGGGCGACAACGCGGAAGTTAACTCGGGGCGACAACGCGGGAGCAGACTCGGGGCGACAACGCGGGAGCAGACTCGGGGCGACAACGCGGAAGTAAACTCGGGGAGACAACGCTGAAGTAGACTCGGGGAGACAATGCGAAAGTAGACTCGGGGCGACAACGCGGAAATTAACTCGGGGCGACAACGCGGCAGCAGACTCGAGGAGACAATGCGAAAGTAGACTCGGGGCGACTAAGCGGAAGTAGAGTCGGGCGACAGCGCGGAAATAGACACGGGGCCACAACGCGGAAGTATATTCGGGGCGACAACGCGGAAGCAGACTCGGGGCGACAGCGGAAGTAAACTCGGGGCGACAACGCGGAAGTAAACTCGGGGCGACAACGCGGAAATTAACTCGGGGCGACAGCGCCGAATTATGCTCGAGGCGATAACGCGGAAGTATAATTTGGGCGACAACGTTTCGGGCGACAACGCGGAAGTTGACTCGTGGCGACAACGCGGAAGTTGACTCGTGGCGACAACGCGGCAGCAGTCTCGAGGCGACAACGCGGAAATAAAATTTGGGCGTCAACGCGTAAGTAGAATTGAGGCGACAATGCGGAAGTTGACTCGGAGCGACAACGCAGAAGCAGACTCGGGGCGACAACGCGGAAGTAGACACGGGGCAAAAGCGCGGGAGTAGACTCAGGGCACAGCGCGGAAGTAGACACAGGGCGACAGTGCGGATGCAAACTCGGATCGACAATGCGCACAATAACTTGGGTCACGCGGAAGTAGTCAGAATCCGCGTTCGGAATGGACACTGAGGCGACAATGCGGAAGACAACTCGACCGCGCCAATGGGGAGAAAATGCGCAAGAAGACTTGGGGCGATAACGCGCAAGAAGATTCAAGTCTACAGACCCTGGGCGACTAGGCTTGCCCCATGCTCGCCGTATCCAGTTTACGTGATGCATGCGCTTCGTGGCTCGTCCTCATGCACGACGGGACGAACAAGTTGAGCCTAGTCGCCCAGAGTCCTTCTACGTGATTATCCCCGAGTCTTCTTGCCCGTAGTCGCCCCAAGTCCTCTTGTTCGTAGTCGCCCCGAGTCCTCTTGCCCGTAGTCGCCCCAAGTCCTCTTGTCCGTAGTTGCCCCGAGTCCTCTTGTCCGTAGTCGCCCCAAGTCCTCTTGTCCGTAGTTGCCCCGAGTCCTCTTGCCCGTAGTCGCCCCAAGTCCTCTTGTCCGTAGTCGCCCCGAGTCCTCTTGCCCGTAGTCGCCCCAAGTCCTCTTGCCCGTAGTCGCCCCAAGTCCTCTTGTCCGTAGTCGCCCCGAGTCCTCTTGCCCGTAGTCGCCCCAAGTCCTCTTGTCCGTAGTCGCCCCAAGTCCTCTTGTCCGTAGTTGCCCCGAGTCCTCTTGTCCGTAGTCGCCCCGAGTCCTCTTGTCCGTAGTCGCACCAAGTCCTCTTGCCCGTAGTTGCCCCGAGTCCTCTTGCGCGTAGTCGCCCCAAGTCCTCTTGCGCGTAGTCGCCCCAAGTCCTCTTGCGCGTAGTCGCCCCAAGTCCTCTTGCGCGTAGTCGCCCCAAGTCCTCTTGCGCGTAGTCGCCCCAAGTCCTCTTGCGCGTAGTCGCCCCAAGTCCTCTTGCGCGTAGTCGCCCCAAGTCCTCTTGCGCGTAGTCGCCCCAAGTCCTCTTGCGCGTAGTCGCCCCAAGTCCTCTTGCGCGTAGTCGCCCCAAGTCCTCTTGCGCGTAGTCGCCCCAAGTCCTCTTGCGCGTAGTCGCCCCAAGTCCTCTTGCGCGTAGTCGCCCCAAGTCCTCTTGCGCGTAGTCGCCCCAAGTCCTCTTGCGCGTAGTCGCCCCAAGTCTTCTTGCGCGTAGTCGCCCCAAGTCCTCTAGTTCGTAGTCGCCCCAAGTCCTCTTGCGCGTAGTCGCCCCAAGTCCTCTTGCGCATAGTCGCGATGGACTGGACTGTCGTAGTCGGACTGCCGTAGTCGGCAGTCCATCAACGCGTTGCTGGCAGTCCACCAGCGCGTTGCCTGCAGTCCAGGAACGCGTTGCTGACAGTCCACCAGCGCGTTGCCTGCAGTCCAGGAACGCGTTGCTGACAGTCCACCAGCGCGTTGCCTGCAGTCCAGGAACGCGTTGCTGACAGTCCACCAGCGCGTTGCCTGCAGTCCAGGAACGCGTTGCTGACAGTCCACCAGCGCGTTGCCTGCAGTCCAGGAACGCGTTGCTGACAGTCCACCAGCGCGTTGCTGACAGTGACAGTCAACTGCTATATTGCACACAGCATACTGTACTTTTATAGCATTGCAAGTCACTGAAAATAATTACCAAGTGTAACGATCAACAGAAGCTAATATTCTTAGATAATAATGTTATATTTCCTAACAATAATAATGAATATCAATTTAAGGGCATTAATGACCTACATTTATGGGCTTGGGTTCAGGTGCACATTCTGTCCTATGTTCTGAATAAAAAACAGGTGCACATTCTGTCCTATGTTCTGAAAATAAATCAAAAACCATAGCGACAGCAATTTTTTGTCTAACTAAATTACTCTACTAGTATTTAGTATTGTGAAGGCTACCTAATTGAAAATGTGCTTGCAGTATTTGAACAAATAACTGCTTGATTTATATATTCATTAGCAGGACAATCTAATTTTGAAATGTTACTGATGGCGGAATCAAAAATGACGGCACATCTAACACTGCCAGGGAGAATTGATCAAGTTATAAGTAAAGGCTTTATGACGAGAGATACGAAACGATAAGCGTTTGTGTTGACAGCACATGCACCGTGACCGAAAAGATTTGAAAGAAACTATAAAGAAGAAATGAAAATCTGCTGCCGGATCATCTAATGATACAACAATTACCAGGTACAAATTAAAAATATGTAATTCATACTTTTTCACCATTGAATGCAATTTTCATCCTCGGCAGCTTACTTACCGTAAATTACGTTTCTTCTCAGCAGCAGGAGATGCTAAATCAAACTTTGCATCGACTCCCGTGAAAAAAAACGCCAAATAACCAATGTCACGACGCGCGCAAGAAGCGAGATGCACCGCCGGGACCACAAATCATATCCGATGTATGCAAAACATTGCCTCTAATATTTGGCGCGCTTGCGTGCTCTAGGATTTCCCAAGGTAGAAATAAGAGCAGCAGGCCAGATCCATAAATTTAGAAAGCTGCCTCACGACGGAATTGTTAGAAGTCCCACTTCTGAGGTTTGCTTATTTGCTCTCGAACTTCAGCGCTGACGGTAAATTACCAGTGAACAAATTAGATCTATTTGCACGTATAAACTACTAAAATGTCTATTTTTATTACAAGTACAAAATTAGATCTATCCAGACGTATAGATTACATATATTAAAATTCAACGAGTAATAATTGTATCGTTTTCAGATGTACAAACTACTAATACGTCAGTCTAATTAAATTACAAGAGCAAAATTATATCTATTCCGACGTGCAATCTATTACCCTAACAAAATTTGTTGGTATATGCTTAAATTACAATTCCCTAACAAAATATAGAGCCGGGCGCGACTCTGTAATAGGGAAAGCTTAGGACTCGGGGAGCACGTAAATCAGCTTCTCATGTCCGCTTTTAGGCCAAAATTTCAATCCTAAGTCAGACAGCTACGAGAGTTTGGTCCCGACCCTGACAATAACAATGTTGCGTAATTTCTGCCATGATGAACGTTGCCTCATAGATACATACCAAACTATTGGAAAATGGATGAAACGTTGAATAACGATGCTATCAACCTTCGGTTGTATGAATTGATAACGGCTTTCCAATCTATGTAACCTTATAGTGATCGATACGCATTTGTTGCCACCGAGACAATACTAACTGACATTCAGTTGTGTACAGTATGTACATACCCAATATAGCAAGTTCACGTGATGAAGTTCACCGTGACAGTTTGAATCGCAAATATAAGCAATCCAGGACGAATTCTGACGAATGACAAAATAAGCATGTGCGTACGCACGCACGCGAACGGTTATAGACTGGATTCTTAGACTTGTATAGTTTAGCAGACCCAGAATAAGTTTAAACGCGAGTATAACAACTCTAGGGCGGAAGCTGAAGCATACCCTAAATTTTGTTGGAGAAATGCCAAATTATATGTAATCAAACGTATCAACTAATAATATGTCAGTCAATTAAAATCAGAAAAGAACAATTAGATCTGTTCATATTATAAACTTCTACTACGTCAGTCTATGCAAATTAAAAAGCCAGAGTCACATCATATGTAGGCATTCAGTCGTACCAACAACTAATCTGACCGTCCAATCTTATCTGTTGCAGTAATAAACTTTTTACTTTCGAAAATGTTCAGATTATTCTTATGGTTACCTTTGAAATAAATTTTTTTCTACTCCTTTAGATATATATTTTTTTCCTAAACGAAGACGTTTTGTTCATCAAAACTATCGCATTAATTTTGATGGTCAACTCATTATTACTTATTAATGAATACTTGCTTCTAAAAAAGACAATGCAATATAAATTAAGAGACAATACAATGTAAATTACCAACAATTCCAAAATAAAAAGTTCGGAAAAAACTGGCTTTCATCCGATTGCCGAAAATTAGGGATTGTCAAAGTAAGAGTTGCCAAGTACTGATAGTCGGTATATTGCCATTGTGGCGTATAACTTTCGCCACTTTAATTGAGAAGTATAACTATAAGATATATTATCTTTACTTCGTATTCACGAAATTAGGCCCAAAATACCATCTCTTACGCATCAGTTCTGAACTCGGATTCGTTCTAACAAAACTCTCTCCACTGCAAGGAGCTTTTCAAATACGTACAGGAGAGACCATTTGATCGACGTGCAAAATAACCTCGTCTATAACGAAACCCTTAAAAAATGAGTAACCTAACCTAAATAATTAACTTAAAATAGCCTAAACTAACTACGCTACTAATCAGTGTTGCACAACTGTTACCTAAGCCTCGAAGCTTCATGTCCGATCTCTCGGTGAAAATCGCACATCCATAACTACGCGCTGCATGTTCTAGCGAATTTCCGCCTTTTGCAGCAGCGAGATGAGAGTTTCCCTGAACTGAAGCAGAAGTTTGGGGGCAAACAAACCCTGGCAGACGTTAATGTGTTTGCGCTAACGAGGGTCTTCAGTTGATCAGCTACTCGTCTCGTATACGTAGTTAGGCTCTCGTATTGCGAGCATTCAACGGAAGCATATCGCGCACCTTACAAATGAAGCCGGAAAGCGTCAGTGCTCTTGGCTGCAGGAACGTGTGCTTTTCCTGTCAAAATCCTCGTATTGCGTGTCTGTGCTGCATCTGCTGTACTTTCAAGCGAGTTCCGAACTGCCAGAATGAAAGGAAGAATAGAAAAGAAAAAAGGGCTTGTGTGAAAACTGACAATTCAACGTCAACAGAAATGAAAGAGTAACATTCGGTAGAATATTAGAAATGTTTGTTAAAATATTCCAAAGTTAGAGAAGAGTTGAAATGTAACTAGGAAAACATTACTAGAGAAGTAGAGAACTCCCCACCTTGAAATTACGAATACTTTAACATTACTTCTAATTCGTCAAAGTTGTTTAGTATCTACAGTGCTGGTGCGCTAAATTACTGTCGGTAGACGAGGGTTAAACTGATAAGGAAGGTATCGATAGCTATGTGATGATGGTATAAATTCCCAGTAACACAGATTAATACGTTGCATTTCCTCGTAAGTCAAAGATAAAAAACTCAACCACTAAAAAGTCGCGGCAGGTCAAGAACGAGTAGCTGAGGTACAGATCAAACCGAACATTACAATGGAAAAATTCGAAGGAAAGCAGCGACTCAGAACTCCTAAATTAAGGCACCAAAAACATACCTGAGGTTCGTTGTACTGATGAAAAGATGTGCTAAATATGAAGCAATCAGAACACCGAATTTAATTATTTAATGATGATAGATTGAGAATGCAAATGAGAATGCATACCCAAATTTACTTGGATAACATGTAGGAAAGATGAACGTAAATAGCTCATAAAAACTCAGTTTTTTAATTCCAAACTGTAGTCAAATAATTTTAATAATACCACCCTATTAAATCAAAACAGTACTTGGCATGCAGGTCCCATGACGTGAACGAGCTACCACACAAAAACTTTCTCTCCCGCAGACGGACGGATCCCGACATTCGTCGACATCTCATGCCTTTCGCGGAGAACACTTGCCAACAAAGGTTATTAGTATTATAAAACGAAGAAGCAATTGCGAAGAAAAGTTATCAAAAGTCAGCGTATAATATCCCATTATCTTTCATTTTTCACATAGAGCTAGAAACAGTTTTCTACTGACAGTTCATTTCACTTACCTTGCAGTGAGTATTGAACTACAATCCATATATAAAATGAATGAGAATGAAACGCGTTACAGTTAGTCTACGTTGTATTTGCAGGAGTTTCCAGGTGAACGAAATCACAGTCAAACATAGCACGGCAAGTCTTCACTTCATTACCATGAATCATGAAGACCGACAAGTTCCTTAGGATAAATTCATTACCATCATTACGCTACTAATTTCTGTCATGAGAAACGTACAGCCGCGACGTAATAGTTTATTACCATCACTTAAATTCAGTACTGACATATTCAATCATTACCATGACCGCAATTACAATGTTCCTTTCCTTTACATCAGTACAAAAGCAAATGCAAAAATTAAACAGATGTGCAAGGCAGATCTTCGACAAGCTTCAGGAATTTTGGAATAGAACCTAAAAAATCGCCAATTTTTCGTTCCATACTTGCATCAATTTTTAAGGGAAATAACATCACTTATATTAAGAAAAATAAACACGTTAGCCTCACTGGTTGGTTTCTAAAAGTTTATAATAATTCTATTGGCACATTTCCTTGAGATACCGCTTTATTAATTACAACACAAAGTTTCTTTCATGTTAAAACCCATCCGCTTTACTGTTAATTGACTTTGATGTACCTGGGCTTTCGATGAACGGTCATTAAAATTGCTTCTTGAGAATCACTGATGAATTTGCGTAACCGTTGTTGAATTGCGGAAAATTAAAAATTCAATTTAAAAACTCAGGGAAGTAAAATGAATATTTTATAGCAAAAAATGGATCATCTATCATTGAAAATTAACTTGATCCTAAACGGTCACGATGACGGGTTGAAGACAAGCAATTTATCCTTCCACCGCGGTTGCAAAATATCTATGCTGCACTAGCAATCTTAGTTCATAGACATCAACTAAATCTACGACTCAAGACACATTTAGAAAAATATAATTAATTTTAGAAGTTGCAAGAGGAAATTCATACGCTTAAATCTACGACAAAACAATGGTTTTGGTCCCATTCAAATACTTAACGACTAAAAGAACAAAATAGTGGAAGATTAAGATAATTTTAACAGTAAAAGTGGAATAAATTTATATTTTGTTAGGTGGGGAGCAGGAAAATAATTCATTTTAAATCCGGAATTACATACAACCACGGAAACGTGTTTCATATGAGAAAAATGTTTAACATTGAAATTAGGTAAAATATTGTATAAAAATAGTGGAGATGGAAATCCGTCCTCATATTTACAACATTAACATATTAATTGAACATGAACGAAAAAAGCTTTCATTCCGTAGTGTGTTTCAATAATGGTCGGTTAGGAGAGAATTATTTAATCGTTAATAGGTTTAGTTTTTAGACCTATAATCTTCAGACCTGTAATGTTTGAACCTATTAAATTATAAATAGAGGAAGAATGCTTATACGTACACCTTGACATAGAAGCAATTTGTTGCTAGGATAATCCGTATTTTAACTAGAGAAAATGCACTAACGCCTCGCACGATCCTAGTAACCGTCAATTCAATCGGCAATCAAACTTCGGTTCAATCGGCAATCAAACTTCGGTTCAATCGGCAATCAAACTTTGGTTCAATCGGCAATCAAACTTTGGTTCAATCGGCAATCAAACTTCGGTTCAATCGGTAATCAAACTTCGGTTCAATCGGCAATCAAACTTCGGTTCAATCGGCAATCAAATCGGAGGTTTGATTAATAGACCATGACGCTCATTAACAAATAGACAATCATAACGTCACCATGAACTAATTTTTCCGTGATTGAAGTTGAAATCTTTCTTTCAGTAACTTTTCACACACAAACATGGAAAATTGATAATGTTTATGTCAGATATACGATAAAATAAAGGCACAGAGGTGATCGGAGGACCAATAACACGTTCTTTGGTTGAAATAAAAATGCTGCACCGCCAAACTGAAAACTAGAGCTACTGCTAAGACTAGGGCTACGTGTTCATTGATTACGAAAACTCTAGAATTACATCTAGAAGGAACGGAAATAATTTCATTGGAATTAAAATCTCAATGGAACAGCACTTAATATATTGGTAGAACACATAGAAAAAAAAAACACGGTAAAAGCATGTCTAGAAAATCTATGAGATTCAAGCATTAAAAGTAGTTATGTACATAAGAACGAACTAGTCCTGCAAAGATAACGTAACTAACGAACAAGAATCCATATTATAACATAGATTTGTAACTTCAAGTCGCTAGAGGTTAGCCTTTAGGTTAAAAAATGTGAAGCTTTTCGAAAATCCGAAAACTGATTGGTCGGAAATAATGTCTTCAATATTTAACTTAGGATGATGCGATGCGTACAAATCAGAAGTAATGGGCAAAATATTCAAGCAAGAATTCAATCCAGCATATTTTAAAGCACTTCTCTAATGAAAATTTCAGCGTCAAGGTACCATTTTCTCAATGACAACAAATTGGCGTTTGAAATAAAAAATATTTGCAGAAGTATAAATCTTATTCTACGAGACCAATACAGTTTGCCTGGAAAACGGACAGAAATTGGTGAGAATGCTTTTGCAACCACAAGTAATTTGAAGCGTTCCATAACTTATTTTTTAAATTTACTTTTCTTTATAAAGATCGATGATGTAATGATGAATTTGATTGGTTGTCAACGTCATTTTCGTCATGAATTACGGCAGAACGATCAGATATCAGTTATCAGAAAAAGAGCTTAGAAAGAAACACCGAAAAGGGTTCTAATTTGGCACAACTGTGCAAGGAATGAATTTTTACAGTAGAAAAAAATGAATAAACTTGACATTTGTTTCTTTGATTATAATCTAAATCATCTCAACCTGTCCCAATCATACAATTGGTCGTAGAAATTAAAACATTTGCTATGCTTACGAGCTCAAACTGACGGTAGCCGAGCATCTGAGTTGACGAGAAGCGACGTTATCGACGCAAGTAACAACGCACGTGTAGCGCCCTAAGTCAGCAGACGTGCAAGTATCCAAGTGAAGAGATACTGTGCCGTCCCTCAAGTGTTGTTGCTCGAACCGAGTGTCGTTTTCAAGTTCCCCGCTCGGACCAAACCACGACACACTCGCCGCCTGTACCCCGGACCCACCGATGTGGAGGGTTAAAGTCACGGGCTGTCCCGTGGTGGTTAACGTCATGGATGTTAGAGGACGTACGACGTGAAGTAAGTCGTCACCACCGTCACCCACAATAACGCACTCCGACACGTCGTCTAGGGTCGAGATGACGTTCCTGTTGAGTGTGTTGAGGTAATCCATGGAGCTATTAGCGCCACAACTCAGGCGATCGGAAATGCTGATGTCGCTGCTGTTGCTCACTGAGTAGAGGTCAGCGCCGCCGAAGCTGCCGCTGCCGATGGAGTTCCTGTCACTAAGGGTGCTGGTGTCGTCGAAACTCGCGTATCTTTCCATGGAATTATTCCCGTAATCGCCCGACGATTGCATGGCAAGGCCAAGCTTCACCCGCTCCACCTCGTCTTTCCTGAGCGCCGCGGCCGCCTTAGCTTCGCGTTTAGAAAACGAAGGCTTGCGGAATTTCATCCAGGATTTTTTCGCTGACATCACAGGATAAGCTGAAGACATTTGTAGGTTTTGAGGATTATTAGGACTGCAGCTGCCACATGGGGATTTTCTGGGACTGTGTTGGGACGTAGAGGAATATACAGGAGGTGGTGGGGACACTGGGGAAGGTGCAGGGGGTTGGATGACGGAGGTTGGAACCCAACCTTCGGCTGCAGGGCTTTGTGATGTGGCTGGTCGGTGGATGAGGTACCCACGCGCGCTGCTGCTCATCACCTGAAAGTTTACAATTATTAGTTTCCGAATATTATTAGTTTCTAAATTGTATTAGTTTCTGAATATTATTAGTTTAATCAGCTTCGGCTAATAAATAAGCAATCTCACACCAGAAATCAAGCATGACCAAAGCATGATCATCAAATACGATATGAAAAGTCTCAGGTGGCCAGCTCTCTAATAGGATACCACAATGTTTAGAAAGTGGCTTGACCTTTCAATTTTCTTTGAAACCTGCTTGAAACTGGCTTGACGTTTCAATGTTCGGTTTTAACCTTTTTCATAACATTATTCTTACCTGATGTTCTTATTATGTTGTATGTACCTTAACTTCTACAGAAGGCTATACATTCCTTGAATTCTTCACAAAGTCATTCTTGACACAAATTTTTTCATACCTGAACACTTCCCAATGCTATTCGTACCTGGATACTCCCCAATGCTATTTGTACCCGGACACATCCCAATACTATTCGTACCAGGACACTCCCCAATGCTATTCGTACCCGAACACTTCCCAATGCTATTCGTACCTGGACACTTGCCAATGGTATTTGTACCCATACACTTTCCACTGCTATTCGTACCTGGGCACTCTCAATGCTATTCGTACCAGGACACTTCCCAATGGCATTTGTACCCGGACACTCCCCAATGCTATTCGTACCCGGACACTTCTCAATGGTATTCGTACCTGAACTTCTTCTCATTATTATTCGTACCCGGGCACTCCCTAATGGTATTGGTACCTGGACTTCCTCCCCCCTGGCGACGGTGATCTCGTCCTCCCTGAGGGCGGCGTAAGGCTGCAGGATCTGCACCAGCGTCCCCACGCCCACACTCACTGCGCCCTGCACCAACAGTGCATTAGAATTATACTTATTTTACACGAGATTATACATGTTTTACACGAGACTATAAACGTTTTACACGAAATTATACACGTTTTACACGAAATTATACACGTTTAACACGAAATTATACATGTTTTACAAGTAATATTACATATTTTATACGAAATTATTCAGAGAAACTCATCAAGTTCAATTTGTGTAAAGATAAAGGTCGAATTTTGCGTATCACGGGAAGATAATTCTGTGTATTATGATGGAGAAATTAGCAAATAAGTTAATAATGATGTAATTGTAATTTATTAAAATTAATATAATTATGATAACTGGATATATGCTACCACGGGAAGATAATTTTGTGTCCTATGATGAAGAAATTAACTAATAATTGATTAATAATATAATCGTGATTTAGTCAATTAATATAATATTGATGAGTGATTACACACAGGAAAATAATTTTGTGTCCTATGATGGAGAAGTTAGCTAATAATTAAATAATAATGTAATTATGATTTACTAAATGAATATAATTATGATAACGAATTATATATACACACCCCATGAGATTCACAGGAGTGGACGTCGGCCTCTAGCCGGGACTTGGGTCTGAGGCCGGTCTTGAAGCCGTCCAGGAGGGACCGCTTGTGTTTGGGGGGACTGGGGGACCCTGAGGGGACTTGGGATGAGGGAGGAGTGGAGTAATTGACGGGGGAGGTTGGGGAGTTGGGAGGAATTTGAGGGGAGCCAGGGGAGGGATTGAGGGAGCAGGATGTAGGAGGACATTCCCCAGCACTCCAGCGGTGTTGGGTGACACTTGGGGATGATGAGGAATGGCAGAGAGATGAGTCACTGTTGGAAAAAAGCATCAAATTATAACAAATATCAAAAAATAAATTATATTGAGATTTAAGCTTTTCTAATAGGTCATTACCTGCAAAAGTTATAAGGAATTTACTTGAGAGATTTACAGACGGGTGAAGTCATGACATAACAACGGTGGTATGAATTGATACTCATCACACAGAAAAAAATAATCGTGCGACTAATCAGCCATCACACCACACAGCGACACACTGACCGTTTATCCTTGGATCACCACCACACCACAACCATCACCACCACACCACAACCATCACCACTACACCACCAACTGCCTGAAGCAGCCAGCACCTATAACACCACCAGGCAGTAGATCATCACAAACACCACACCCAAACACAGCACCACCACCACACCCAAACACAGCACACCACCACCACACCACCTGGCGGAGGCGGCGGTGGCGGCGGCGGTGGTGAGATTGGAGCCATAAAAGAAGGCGGTGGCGACGGCTGAGCTGCGCCTCGGCGCGCCCTTGGAGAACCTCCGGTGTTTGGGGGAGATTTTCCCCTCGAGGGAAGTGCCCTCGGTCACAGTGATGGGGGAGTGATAGTCGTCGGTGCTGGGGAGGCTGGTGAAGGGGGAGAGTTGCTCGAAAGGAAGTCGCGGGGAAGGTGCGAAACTTTCGATGGAAGTCGCAGTCGAAATTCGTCTGCCTTTCAAACCCACGGGCTCAAATGCGGTCTTGGCATCGATACTGTAGGAGAAGCGGAATGTTGTATACACGCTTGAATTTTATTAATAATTGATGATAGTAACTATTATGCTCTTACATCGTCCGAGATTAGATATATAAATCAGAAAAATTATTCAATATTCTTCTCAGTAACGATTTTACAGACATTACATAGAGTCTCTTCGCCATTTTTAGAGCGCAGAATAAGTAAAATCCTCAGGGAACACAAAATTTATAATACTTTTTGATAAATTTTATGCGATTCGGAAGAAAAATCTTGCAGATGTGCGGCTAATATCAGCTAGTTCGTGTATGAAATTTCGTCTGAGTAAAATTCATAGTTCATCACATAATTAATCGACAAATGCCATAAATTAATAAAAGTAAACAATGCAGTTTACTAAAAACCGTAAACCTAACCTCATACAATATGAAATAAAACTGTCATTCAAAATTTAAAATAAGAACACATGTTAGGGAGTGAGAACAAAAAAGCTAGGAAATGAAAAATGCCTACACAGAAAATCATACAATCCGCTTACGCAATCGAAAAAAAAAACGAAAAATAAGCAGCAACAAAAGCACAAATATCTCAAGTAGACGCCAGAAAACTGATTAAAATCAAAGCATAACTAAATTATAAATAAGACAGCGATAACAAACAAAGCGAAGTAATACACTCAATAATACAGATACAAGAACACAAAGATAGAAAGAGTAGATCTTTATTTTGTTTAAAGAATGCGGACAAAATTAAGTCAGGTAATAAAGATTATACTAGGACAATAAATGTATGAATTTATAAAAATGTTATAAATACGAACATTATTGTTATAGCTCTGAATTACCACCTGATAATTCAAACGGAAAACCCTACGCACATGCTCGCTCACTGTTTAATTTCGTGAAATTTTCTAACTTTGTTGAGAAAAACGAGAAGTGCGTCAATTAAAACGGGATAACTTTGATAGCATTAATGCGATTACCGTTTCACGAAAAAAAAACGAAATCTCAAAAACTGCTCCAGCAAAAAAAAATATACATACATATAAATAAATATCGGACAGCAAAAGCAATACTCGTTCTAAATCAACACCCATCAATTAAGACAAAACTTTTTCTTTGCATAAATTGATAGCGGCCAAAACAATTTTGTGAAAAAAAACATAACAAACCGTCGAGATATTAAACGCAGTAGAACTAAAACAAAATCTCGTACAAAGCATAGGTCCGCAAAAATACAATTATTGTGCAATAATTATTGTGCGCACAGCAATAAAGTTAATTACTGTGCGTGTAAAAGCTGAAGACTGGAACGATTGAAGGAATTATTATGAAGAATAACCGGACAAAGAAACATATCTTAGAACAAAGTATCTTGAAGAAAAATCACAAGTTCAGTGAGTTGCATTTGTTAGGTGACAGGTAAAATTTTAGAACGAATACGATATTATAATCCGATGAAATATGTAAATGAACAGAAATTTCTTGTGTAAAAATACGAAAAATGTAGAAATTTCTTGTGTAAAAATACGAAATATGTAACGTAGCACACGGAAGAAAAACTTCAACCAACGTCCGAAAATATTAATGGTCAATCAGTAACATGCGTTTGGAAAAAATAAGAAATACGAATTGAAACCCACATGAAATAATTTCGATTTAATCAAAATGAATGTAAATTTTCAATTAATAAAAGCGGGCACACAAAAAGACTTGAGAATTTCTATTGAGTTGGCAATTAAACAAAAATATTTTCAGTGAAGAATTAGGGGAAGATTAATTGCAGGAGTTAGTGCTAACAGCTTGAAAATATTAAAAATAAGTTAGTCTTAAAGCGCAGGCTCAAGTTGTGAATGCTAAAGGGTCGAAATATTGAAGAAATGTTAGAGCTGGTGAGCTGAAGATATAACTGCTGTTAGAGGATGCTAGATATGTGAGTATTAATAGGCTAAAGATACCGATATGTTAATACCAGTAGGTGAAATGATACTAGATGTTAGTGCTAGTAAGCTAGAGAATACTAGTTGTTTGTGTTAGTAGGCTAGAGAATACTAGATATTAGTGCTAGTAGGTGAGATGATACTAGATATTAGTGATAGGCTAGAGATGATACTAGATATTAGTGCTAGTAGGCGAGATGACATTAGATATTAGTGCTAGCAGGTGAAATGACACTAGATATTAGTGCTAGTAGACTAGAGAATACTAGATATTAGTGATAGGCTAGAGAATACTCACTATAGGGCCCGAAGTAGAAGCCTCCCAGCTCTCTAGTTAACAGACTTCAGAAGTCCAGCAGCGATTATTATTTTTGTTCAGAGATTTGTTAGCTGAAGCTTGCATGATCATGCAAGAGGAGACCTTCAGATGTTTCCATGATGCATTCTCAACACGAGGTGATATGTAAAAGTAGTAGCAAGAATCGTGACTGAGTTCCATTCAACTTTTTAAAACCTGCATAATTACGGTTATTTATCGCATACTTTAATTCAGAACCTTGTATTATTGATCAGAATCAACAATTTACAGATTTTAAAATGGGCCACAGAGCACAAAAGTAGATTTCAATGCTGAACATAGTTTATGAAACACGTAATCGTACTTGTTAATTTGAAAACATCGATTGGAACTATCGGTTAATACATAAATAATTTTAATTTTTAGGTTGAAATGGAACGCAGTCACATTGTCTTCAGCTATAGAAAGTACTAATTTGATAACGCAACGTCCATCTTGTTGTAGAAGAGAAGGAGAAGTAAGTATCAGCGACGACAGTATGGCAAAAATGTATTTAGCAACGATCCAGTAATTTGTAATATAACTTATAAATTACTTATTATTGTTATCATCGTCATACGAGAGATAGAGAAAGATCTTATGCAGACATTAATTATGCACTGCCCGACACTGGCACAACATTTGGATACCTCACGAGAGAGAGCAAGAGATAGCGGTATTTACAGCGGTGTGGTAACGGGTGTTCCAGACTAAAATAATATTTTTATAGCTTTTTCAATCGACGGTAACCTAGATTACCAGTCTTTTAGGTACAGAAATCATTGACAAAGGCTATAAGGTATTCGCTAACAGAAGATTTTACAAGCTCGAAGCCTGAATTGAGAATGCAAATGAATTTCTAACTAAAACAATGAGTTTCAAATATTTATACATGAATTCCATCAATAATATTTAATAATAATAACAACATTGTTACCGTTGGTATTTGCGCATCCCACTTCGAGCTTGGAATACAAATATAAGAATTTTAAATGATTCAATAACGGCTGCGCATATCCTGGTAATGAAGAACAAGCGACACTTGACACAGAACTAAGTTAATTGTAGAAAAATTGCAATTTACAATACAAATTTTACAAAACAACCAGCCCCAGCATCTTTTTAATGCGAAAAACGAAGCAGAAACAAATATGTATTACAAAGGATTTTTCTTCCAGTAAAACCCGCTAAGATGCTGGCGGTATATAATGATGCGAGTAAGACAACCCGTAATTAAAAGTTGTAATTAAAACAATTATATATTCTGTATGAAGTCGAGAAAATACAGAGTTATGTCATGATCAAACTATCTTCAAGTCAAGGGAGCTCCCTCTGTATACGAAGGTAAAAAGAACCAGTGTAAAAGTGAAATATACGAGTCGACTTTCGGCAACATTCAGAACTCAAATCCTTTCCCAAGAAAGCGGACATTCAGGATACAATGAATAAATAGGATGACATTAATGACGGAATACGGTAATTATTCGATGCTCTGCATTGTGAGAAGATATCGACCATACAAAAAATTCGATTATGACACCAATGCAGAAAAATATGACATTTAAATCTCAAATCCTTCTCGGCAATTCAAACTAAGATGAAATTTTGAAATTTCTTCATTATAGTTAACGCAAGATATGGAGATAAAAATCCTCGGAAATAAGATGCTCTCAGAAAGACATGAAATCAAATTTTTGGACATAAAAACGAGAGAAAAACCTTTTTATAATTCAAGGAGACGCCGAAAAGCCTCGACAATATCCACTTGACCATCCAATACGAAACACTCAGAGAAATGAACGAGACTTTGTCCAAATAGCGATGCGCTTTTCGTCCTGTTTTAGGTCGTCCTAACACACTCTTGCCCGGCGCTACGTCCACCCTCTTTACAATACAAAAAAAAACATGCCGTGGGAAAGATAGTGTGTCACTATGATGATAAAATACCAATATCTTTTATCCGAGTGCAGACAAAAAACCTATGACCAGCCAAAGCTATAGATAATACTATATAATTTTCAAAAGGGCAGTGGACGCTATACAAGAAACGTTGAAGACCAATCTTCAATGAAAGTGAAAAGCCAGTTTATGTGAAAAAAGTTCGTAGGAATCTTGAGTGAATGTGAAACGCCGCATCACAACAAGTATTATTTAAACGTACATAAAATACAATGCGGCATACATAGAATACATTACGTTGCTCCCCTACATAAAGCTGCGACGCCATACTTCTTTACGTCAATGCCAATAAAATACACAAGAACACACGTACAAACACACCAACTTACTCATCAACCGTTATTGTATTACCGACACAGAGAATGTATGTACAAGGAGACGAAGATGCACAGAGAAGGAGAGAGAGCATAAGGACACATCTTAATACAGCAATTGATATACCTACACAATATATATTCGTAAACTTAGACAAGTGTTGAATTTCTTCAAGTCAGTAAAAAAACTCAGATGAATTAAGAATTTTGGAAGACTAGGACCGCAAAAAATTTCTTGCATAGTGCAACAATGAAAATTAAAATTCTGACAATTTTTGAACGAGTAGTCAGTAATTTATTTTAGAATTGGTGGTGATAACAGATGAACAACCAGTAAAATGACGCTTGATAAAATGTGATGAAGCTCTCAAATAAAACAGTTCAACTGTATATCCTTAAAGATTGATAGGAAGTCAAGATCGAACGTATATTTGCATCAGTAGCTACCATAAAAAAGGAATATGGAATATCATACGGATCGACTCAATTCACAGTTAATCGAAAAAAAACGCACGCACGAGTCCGCTAAAAACCAAACTCAGATTTGGATTTTTTTTTGATTATCCATCAATGAATCTAACGCTTAGAAGCGTCATACAAACCGGTTAAGAGGAAAGGAGGTGTCAATGTTACCCTGCAGTTTACTGAAACTCGAACTACAAGAGCGTTAATACATTATTACGAATAACACAAATATATCGTATTTGATCATTCTTTGGTGTTAACAAGCCGTACAAAATCTAGACGAAAGTCTTTCCGTTTCAACGCTAAATTTACAAGCTATTATGTACATTACGAACTAAGAGTAAGTGAGTTGAATAGTTTTTGTGAGATGGAATGAATGAAATTCCGAGTTAATGAATCACGTATAAGCCTGAATTAACGTCGTGATCCAATAAATATAATACATGAAACATTATTCGTTGAAATTACAGCATTAAAATACATCGGGTAATTGAGGCCTTCAGTAGGGCATTTAAATAATGAAGCACGCAATAAGATTATTAATGTAGTAAGTGTTAATTCATATGAATATGAAAAAGTAATCCATGACAGATGGATTATTGAATTAAATATATTGTAATGAAAAGATGCTCCGAAACTTTCATTCCAACATGAATAATGAAATAATATGAATCTCCACAGCCACTTAAATGGAAAACTAAACAGAATTTTTTTTCGTACTGTGATCAGTGCCGGGAGATCAAGTATTTATTTATGATTAATTCAAATATAATTATTGTACTGTAAGTTTCCGATTTTTCAAAATTAAAAGCTATTGTTTATTTTCACGCTAAAATTAAAATCGAAGGTTTTGAAGAGCTTTACAATCATGAATGAAGTTCTAATAACTTGTACATAAATCTCAGGCACATAATTCTAGTCAATAAAAGACATGCAAACTTCAAGTTTCAGGGTTATTACTGCCGATGGAAAAATAGCCTAGGAAATTAAATGTAGAGAGTTTATGTTTCCTGATGTTGAATTGAGTTGAGCTAAAATTATTTGGAGTTGATTTCAACCCATGAAGAGAACAATGCCAACAGAATTATCAATTCTGTATCAATAAATAATGACAATTATCATCGTGAAATAAATAATTCAAGTGCGTGCAATTCATAACACATTATATTACTTTCGGTACATAGCACAACGGCGTCATGTTTGCATAAAAAACTGGTATAAGGAGAATAGATAAACATTTATTGAAACACGCGTGAAATTTCGATTTTCAGAGGTGAGTCGGCGTTCTTATCTACCAGGAATTTGACGTTAAAATAACGTTGATGAAACGTGGTTTCCACGTCTTTCTCCTAAAGAGATAGGTATTTACTTATTTCCTTGTCATGTTGCGGCGTAGGAGGAAAATGTTAAATGAATTCTTTAAGGAAGAACCGTCGAATTGGCGCGCGGAAAAGGAGGAAGACCATCAACTTGAAGCACCGAACTTTTGCACACATTTACCCACCCGAAAGGAATAATCTTTATTACCTTTCAAACTTGGCATGAAAAAAAAACAGAACAGAAGCCACCATTCTATGTTTCTTAAAAAACGCAGAGAACACAGTAACACCATTCGCCCGTCTTCTTACAAGTATAAAAAACATCGCATTTTACCATGAAGGAGAAATAAATCCGGTCTTGACATGGCCGGAACTAAGACACTCATTGATCAATAAAGTTTAAAAACTGCCTTGATTCCAGACATGTTTACGGTCAATATATTCGCACGCAGTGCAAATACCATACCGTAATTAATATCATAATTGCGGCACACTGCAAAACAGTGACACGGCGCCCTGCAAACATTTATCCGCATGATTCATCAAACTATCTAAAGCCATCATAAGTTGTGCGTGAAGAATACAAACGAAAATTTGTAAACTTAATTTCATTAGTTCCCAACGCAAATGCAATTTCTCTAATATTAGAACGACAACAGCCCTAAATTTAAATTTGACTTTGCACAACTGGCAATATTCAGCGTAAGCAGCGTTTGTATGGAAAATTTTTCGAAATTTGAACGATAATAGCCCAAGCCATAAAACCTGAAAATGCATCATTATTAATATTCAGCGTGAGCGGCATTTCTATTCAAACTTCTCAATATTTGAACGAAAACATCCCAAACTTCGAATCTCGTAAATTCATCAATAAATATTAATATTTAGCGTGAGTGACAGTGTACAAGCTTCTCAATATTTGAACGAAAACATCCCAAGCTAAAAGACGAGAAAATGCATTATTGGTAATACTCGGCATCGTATGTAAGTATTTCTCTACTCACTGGTGCTTGGTCTGTTCCTTCTGATAGGCAATAGGGCTCTGCAGAGCCATGAGGAAGTCGCGCTGTTTCTGCAGCAGGAGTCTGATCTGCGAGGTCCAGGTGTGGTGATCGTCGCGGTTCTCCCCCTGCACCACGAACACCGTCGTCTGCTTGTTTGGGTCCGTGGACCGCAGCAAGAACTTCGTGTCGCACTCCGCGTCGCACCGCTCCTCCATCATCAGCTTGTTGATCTAAACGGGGTCATGGAGGTCATGGGAGGTCATGAGGGAGTCATCGAGGTCATCGAGGTCATGGGAGTCATCACAATCATGGGCGTCAACGAGGTCATGGGCGTCAACGAGGTCATGGGGGTCATCGTGGTCATGGGAGGTCATCGAGGTCATGGGGTTCATCGAGTTCATGGGGGGTCATCGAGGTCATGGGTGGTCATCGGGGTCATGGGAGGTCATCGGGGTCATGGGGTCATCGAGGTCATGGGGGTCATCGAGGTCATGGGGGTCATCGAGGTCATGGGGTTCATCGAGGTCATGGGGTTCATCAAGGTCATGGGGGTCATCGAGGCCATGGGGTTCATCGAGGTCATGGGGGTCATCGAGGGCATGGGGTCATCGAGGTCATGGGGGTCATCGAGGTCATGGGGATAATATAAGTCATCGGTACCTAATCGGAGTCAAGAGAGGTGATGAGATAGGGCAAAGGGGAAAAGGATACAAGTATGAAAGGATGGATGTTGGAATAAAAAAATGTAACGTTGAACGATACAAGTATTGAACAAGTATTAAAGGATACTATGACTATAAATACTTGTAATGCCACAGTATCCTTTAATACTAAATACAGTATGCAGTAGGAGTATATTATATAACAATATAAGACTTGCACCACCAGTTTCTAACGTAGTAGTTTAATGGACACACGAAACTTGAGAGAATAATTTCACTCGATATGACTGACGTTCTGAATATTGTCGTTGATAAATTTTTGAAATTTCCCAGAACACATTCATATAACTTTTTAAGTACGGGTGCCACAAAAAAAAAAAAAAATGTAACGACGAAAATGTGTGTCCTGGTCCAATTGGCTTAAAAAAAATTTGGAGCACTAGGTCAAGCGGTTGTTGAGCTAGAGGCGAAAAACAGTTTTTCACCTCAACTATTTAAAACGCGTTTGGATTCATCAGTATCAAAGTTTATATGTAGTCGGAGAATACTCTAAGTGCTGTCAAAAGTTCAGGAAACTCGGAGCAGGCGTTTGGAAATGAGAGTTTTTGGAAAAAAAATTTTTTAAAGTAGAAGTTTCTGGGCGTAAGTGCCCGATGCTGCCATAAAGGAAATTGCAAGTTCCCGAACAAAAGTGCTACTTCGGGTGTAACAAATCTGAACCCGAAGGAAAAGCTCGCGATCTTGGCGACAGCGAGTTTAGAGACAAACTTTTTTGTTTAAATTTCGCCGGGGAAAACCCGAAACGGTTGCACTGAACAGGTATTTATTGCAACAGTATTCAGTAACAGTATATTATATTCCAATACAAGACTCGCACTATTACCTGTAGATAGCTCTTGCAGAACAGTGTCCAGTAACAGTATATTACATTACAAGACTTGCACCACCTGTAGATACCTCTTGCATAACAGTATCCAGTAAAAGTATATTATATTCCAATACGAGACTCGCACTATACCTGTAGATAGCTCTTGCAGAAATATTCCTCGGAAGAGAAGGCAGTTCTCCTCTTCTGGCACTCAGAGAATATGATGCTCTGCTCGAACAAGAAGACCGTGAGCTCCTTGGGTCTGAACGGGGCTTTAGCGTCGCCCTCGCTCACCAGCAGCGGCCCGTAGTGCAGTAGCTGGCCTTGAGCCATGATGTTGCCCTGTAATGATGAACTTACTTTAGTAATACGGCGGTATTTGTTATTAGCAATTTAAGAGAAGTGACAAGAAAATGTTAATTATTAGACGGGTCGATACGTCGCTTTGTAATAATAAACTTATTTTAAAAATATGGCACTGTTTGTTACCAACAATTTAAGAGAAGTAACAAAAAAATGATAATTATTGAAAATTATCGATGTGTTCCCCTTTATTAATAAACTTGAGTTAATAATAATGCTTTATTTGTTACCAACAATTCAAGAGAAGTGACAAGAAAATGCTAGTTATTAAAAAAGATCGATGTGTTGCACTGTAATAATAATCATGACAATTGCCTGAATATTACTTCATTTATAAATAAAATAACCACAAGTGACAATAAAATATTATGGTGTTCAAAAGGAGCAATGTGTTATCCGGAAATAACAAACACAAAAATGTATTAAAAATTACTTTACCAAAGGTAAAGCAAGAACAAGTGACAGGAAAATGTTTATATAATGGAAAGATACAGGGTTTTTACCGGTATCCATTACAGACCGCGCTCAAAATATTGAGTTGCTCCTGATATAAGCAAGACGTACAATTTTCGTCTCGTAGGTAAGGAACCCAGGCTTCGTACTTTCTCACAGCATCATCACAAGTCTCATCCAGCATCAGTTTAGCGTCGATAGCCAATCACTGGCGCTTATTCAATCTAAACCCACCAATCACAGACGAGAAATCAGCCGCTACGTGTTCCCGAAAACTCTTCTAAAAGTATTTTGAATTTCTCGTATAAAAGTATTTCAAATTCATGTGTACTTTGGTATCCATCTGTAATTGAGCGAGTTTTGATAGTGCGATCCTTGTAACGATCTTTGTAACCTGCCGATGGTCATCATGCAGGTTGTGCACTCACCTCAAAGTCCTGTAACCTGCCGATGGTCATCATGCAGGTTGTGTACGCACCTTAAAGTCCTGTAACCTGCTGATGGTCATCATGCAGGTTGTGCACGCACCTTAAAGTCCTGTAACCTGCCGATGGTCATCATGTGGTCGGCGTCTCTGGGTAAGACAGTCATAATTTCGAGGGCCCTGGAGAGGCTCTCGCACTGTTCGGTGAGACGAAGTCTCTTGCTGCACTTGAGCAAGTCTCTGATCAGCAGCTGGTACTTCATGAGTCTCTGGACAGGCTTGATCAGCAGGTCAGATAACTGCAGTTTGTGGCCGAGTTTCTGCTTAATTTCCTGCACGATAAATATGCACAATTCAGTAATGTTATTATTGAATGATCGTAAAACGGGAAGTATTTTCAAATTGCTAATATCATTTAAGAACGCTAAAATTATGATTGGTTGTTATACTTGGGCCTGGACTGAACAATCACGAATAAATTTCAATTGCACAAAGAAAAAATTTCATCGAAAGTGTCTACTTCCTTTCTTTTCTTCTTCCCCAGTATCGACTTGACAGGAAGTGAATTTCTCCATGGCTTAAATGGCTTAACTTCAACAATCTGACGAATCCAAATAATAATGCCCACAATTGAACTCGTTTCGTATTTACTATCGATTCACATGCCAGAAGATTAGATTTATGTCGGCATAATAAATGATAATTATTGTAAAATAGTATATAATAATATTGAGAACAACAGCTACCTTGTAAAAGCTGACGATGAGAACTCACCTCGAAATATTCGAAGTGTTCGGACACGATATATTCTGACTTAGGTTTGTTTTGGCAATACTTAATGTAGATCCAGAACTTCTTCTCGCTATTGATGAAAACTTGGCCAATTTTCTCGGGAGCCTGGACACATTCTTCCAATTTCTTGCAGAAGAAACTGCGGAAAGAAACAATTACTTTTGCAGTTGCAAATTACTTGATTTTTCTTCGAGAAAAAGCATGTTGCAGCAACGTCAGCTACGACCAATTAATTGTATCATTTTATATGGGTTTCATGGAGATTCTATTGAAGCTCATTCAAGATCAGTCAACTCGAGCATTCCATGCACAAATTAAACAACTAATTATGAAAATTAATCGTCGAAATTACAATTCCTTAGAAAAACATAGTATTCGATATCTCCGCAATGTTAAAATACTGGATTAAGTTATCTTTCTAACACTGATAGAGGACAAGCTTCCGCAATTGGAAACTCGAAATCGAGAGAAGCGAAGGTGGAAAGCGGACAATAGTGTCCGCTTTCCACCCTAGTGAACAATATGCAGTTCAACGGCACCAAGTTCGAAGTAATAAGATACAGAGACCGCACAAAGATAGGGATGCCACATCGCTACTTGGCATCAGATGGCACAGAAATTGAGGAGAAGCAACTAGTTCGAGATCTCGGAGTGTTGATGAGTACTGAAGCCACGTTCGAAGCCCATATCGAGGAAATAGTCGCGCGCAGCCGGCAACGGTTGGGGTGGATATGGCGGACATTTCGAACGAGAGAAGCAGCACCAATGATCACACTCTTCAGAGCCCTCGTGTTCCCCAATCTTAAGTACTGCTGCTAGCTTTGGGCGCCGTTCCAGGCGGACACGGTGCGGAAACTGGAGTCTGTCGCATAGAATATAACGCGGATCTTCACGTATGAGGGAGCTATGCTGAACTACTGGGGCAGGTTGAAACACCTGGGACTGTACTCACTAAGGAGGAGAAGAGAGACATGTACCGTATGTCATACTGTACACTTGGAAGATGATAAACGGACTGGCTCCCAACTTCGAGAGTGAGACCTCCAAAATAACGACATATTACAACGAAAGAAGGGGGAAACTGTGCAGTATTCCCCCATTTAATAACCGAGCCGCAGCCAGAGTACAGACTCTTCGTGAGGGATCACTGTCCGTGGTAGGACCGAGGCTGTTTAATTAATGCCTTGCCAAAGGTGCTTAAAGGAGGGGAGTTCACCCTTGCAACATTCAAGAGACAACTGGACAAGTGGTTGAGAAAGATCCCGGATTGTCCAGTATTGGGAAACTTACCATCAGCAAGTGACAAGCAACAGCATCTTGCATCAGCTGACCCAAAGGAGGGCAAATATACGGAACACGTCCAACGTTACACCCGGGACCCGAAGACGAGGCAACCTGCCTATCGACGACTTTGAGGCGGAGAACTACGAAGGCGGCGCATCAGCGTTACCGTGGACTTAAAAGTCCTAAATTCATCATAAGGTCATAATCCAATTTAATGGAGTGGACACTGAATCCTAAATAAGAAGCCTTCGTCGTGCTTCTGATGTAATGACTCGAGACATTTTCAATCAACAATTCTCAATGTATTTACTAGGTTACTAAATTACTGTTCCAGTATCAATGTGCTAGGGCCACAAAAAAATGGCCCCGCAGTTCCCTTCTCATTGTCAATGTTCCAAAGCCACAAAAATGGCCCCGCAATTCCTCTCCCAGTATCAATGTGCCAGAGCCACAAAAATGGCCCCGCAGTTCCCCTCCCAGTATGCATGTGCCAGGACCACAAAAATGACTCACACTTCCCCTCCCACTATCAATATGCCAGGGCCACAAAAGTACCACGGCAGTTGGTCTTACTCTCGATGCCACTCGAAGATGGCGGCGATGTTGCCGAAGACGATCTTGTCTTTGCCGTTGCGTAGGTCGTCCGGCATGCGGGAGTCTGCGCTCGCCATCTCTGCCATGTACCTGCCGTGCCAATGCCATTAATAAGCTAATAATTAATTATGCTTTAATTGCTAGGACAGTGATTAATAAGGCAGAACTTACTTATTAATTACTAGGTCAATCAATAATAAGGTAATACTTAATTATTCAATACTAAAAGAGTTATTAAAAAGGTAATACTTCATTATTTATTAAAAAGAAAAGACTTTATTATTCACTGCTGGAAAATAAGTCAATTAGTACGAATTCTGGCAGCAATTTGTCTTAGGAAAAATTTTTTCTCTATATTCGATGCTGGTATGTTCCCGGAAACTAACTCTTCATTTCCAGACTTTTGTCATGATTAGTTACAAACAAAGTTTGTGTAGTTTATTAAATGAATTGTAGATATCAGAGAATTGACTGGAAATTGTATAACCTGAATAAATTGATCCTGCATGGGGCCGATTAATGAAATGCACGGAATACATTACAGAAAATAACAAAAAAGTACAATAAAAACAATTAAACCACATTTAATTACTTCATACATCATAAACTAATTTCAATCAAATATATTATAAATTAAAATAAAATAGATTGCAGCTTTAAATTTAAATAAAATTTCCATCTCAATGAACTCCAGTGACCCATTTCAATGGAATAAATGAAAGTTTCCACTACAATTTAAAATTACACTTAAATGAAATGCAGTTCATCACAGGAAACAAACTTTCCACTAAATGAACTGCAGAACATCACAAGAACCTAATTTCCACTAAAATAAACATGACAGAATATCAAAATTAAACTAAAATGAACTGCATTTAATTACAGATAAATCAAAATTCCACATAAGTGAACTGCAGTTCATTACTGGACCACTTAAGTGAACAGTTTAGTGAACAGCTTTTAATTACATGTAAGTCAAAATTTCATATAAGTGAGCTGCATTTCATTACGGTGAACGAACTTCCATCTAAATGAACTGCAGTTCATTACGGGGAAGCAAATTTCCACCTAAATGAACTGCGGTTTATTCCATTGAACCAATTTCCACACAAATGAACTGCGGTTCATTACGGGGAGCCAAATTTTACACATAAATGAACAGCAGTTCAATAATTAATGCCCGTACCCCTGTACGACGGATGCGAGGTCAGCGACGTAGCTTCTCTCCGTGTCTACGAGCTCTCGCGTCACGCACATGTACTGCCGCTGCTCCTTCTCTACGTCAGGCTGACTCACTTCATCTGCAACAAAACAAATAACATAGAAAACACGTAACAAATAAGAACATAAAAAACAAATTTAATTTGTGTTTAATTTACTCGGACGTCAAATTCATTCGGACGTCAAATTCATTCGAAGGTCAAATTCATTCGAAGGTCAAATTCATATGTCTTTAAATACATTCAGACGTCAAATTCATTCAACTTTAAATTCATTCGGACGCCAAATTCATTCGGACGCCAAATTCATTCAGAAGTCAAATTAATTCAACTTAAGTTAAATACATTCGACGTTAAATTAATTCGACGTTAAATTAATTCGACGTTAAATTAATTCGACTTTAAATTAATTCGACGTTAAATTAATTCAACTTTAAGTTTAATTCGTCTTCCAATTCAGTAAGGGAATCTGAAACAACCATACAGGCTGACCAAAATCCGATTCCCGACATGATCCTCGTAAGTGAAGAAGCCCGAACAAGTTGGGACATTATTTCCACACTAACTGAGGGCAGGGACTTTAATGAGCATAAAATGAATTCTCGTAGCACTAATACATTTTTTTCGATCTATAGTGGATCAAGATAACTCACAAAAGGGCAAAAAGATCATCGCTATATTAGGACAAAGTCTCAATCAGTTCTCTGAGAGTAATGTGTCTCGTACCCGGAGCGTTGGTAGGACCGCGGGACAAATGAATTGTAAGATCTCGTTAAGATGTGAACAAATAAATCAATTTGGAGTTAAGTAAACAATGAGAAAAACATAAGAAGTATGCAGACGAGTTGTTATTTAACTGGACTGCTGGCGGGACTGGTTCAAATGAATAGTATCAACTCGTCAACATGTGAACATATAAATTAAATTAGCATTGACAAACTTGCCAAAAAAGTCTAACATTGAGACACAGTGAAGGTAACAGGATTTGATGAACTAATAGTAGTAGTCGTATAATGATTTGCTAGCGCTTCAGCGATCAAGCTATTTCGCACCGAAGGTCAAAATATAACATCGCCAGCGAGGCGGAAGGTCTCAATTATTCAAAGTCTCAAATTAATCCTCACCCACAAGGATTGGAAGGTCTCAGTTGTCCAGCCCGCTGAAGCTGGCTCGGAAGAAGCAGCGTTAGCATCTCAAAGAGACGAAGTGAACTAATGGGCGCAGATAATTTGTAATAAGTTAATGCAAGTCGTCACATACCCGGACTGTTAGCAGGACTGGGGGCGGCGTACGAGAAGTTGGTGGCACTGAGGTAGGGCGGCGACAGCGCGTCCACGGTGCCGCTGCCTTCGTGTTGCTCCTGAGACACAGTGCAAATATCTCGGTCAGCGCTAGCTACTACTTATAATATTAAAATTGTTGAAGGTGATAATAAATGGATTTTAATTTTTGAAAAATTAAAAAAAATTTAATTGCATCACCCGGTTTAATTCTTCAATGAAACCGAGTGATGACGGTTTCATTAGTAATAGCGACAATAGCATGACAATTTTTTTAAGGTGAACGAAAGATGCAAAATAGTAACTTGCTAGTAAAATAGTCATGTTACTATTAGGTTTAGCAAAAATTTAAAAACTGAGAAAACGCAAAAAAAATTAGTACACGGTGAGTTTCCTGGACGTTTTTTTTATTATTTCAAGTTCATGATGAACTTTTGAGTTTGGCAGACCAATGATAGAAGTATATCAAGATAGGGGTTAATATACCTACAATACTCATCGAGCCAGAATATACCCAACATAATTGATTGGTAAACAAGATCTGAAATTAGGTATAATGATGTACTTGCTTACCCGAAATAAGTTATGGCTAAACATTGGGAATATGAGCTGGGGTTCTCATTTATTGATGGGCAAGTGGTATTGAATGGAATTTTGAGGTAGCTCATAGAATATCTGTCCCGAGCAACGGACGCTGGGTTCACCTTCTTTCATGGGTATATAATTATACCTATTATTATTATTGTAATAATCAAATATATTAAGAGTGATATAAAGAGGAAGAAACAATAAGATGCTGAAGGAGTGGTGTAAATATCAGATTTGGAGTTGATACAGGGAATTAAGTAATCAGTTTCCACGTACAAACTAGTAAACAAAAACGATGATTTTTCATTAGGTAGAACAGGACGCAATAAAGAAACAACCTAAGATTCAGTCTAATTACGAGTGAACACATATATGTTGGGAAACACAATCAAACGGTGATTTATGGATTAAGTCGAGCTGGACATAATTAAAAAGATAGGACCCAAAGAAAATGCAGCATGATTACGGGTGAAAAATAGTGATGAAGAATCACCAGCAAATAGAACAACCACAATTATCGCAGACACATCAGCCCAAGCCGACGACGAAAATCAGCGTGCTAATCGGCCACAATCAGTTTAGGCAGAACAGGTGTTACGAACCTCGTCATACACGCGCACAATTGTAGGCCTTTCATTACTCTTCTTGGTAGCCGCATAATGCTCGTACGCTTTCTTTTTCTTGGCGACTCGCTTCTTTAAGGTGGTCTTATCTTTGCTGGTAACAACAGGTTCTATGTTTGGGACGACACACGGGTGTTTGGAGAATAGGTTCGTAGGAATTTCTTCTGGAATTTCAATTACTCGTGGGGTAAGATCTGTAGCTTCAGAAAGGTCTTTTGAAATACGGGAGCCACCTGATGATCTTTTCGATTCATTATCATGTATTTTACTTTTACGCTTACTTCTATACAATGTGGATCTAAAAGGCAAGAGGCTGTCACTTGTGTCTTTGGTTCCCGAATCCCCAGTCAGTACGTCGTGACTCTTCGGGAATATGTCCAAGTGAGTGAAACTTCTGGTCATTGATCGCAATTTCTGGAATGCACTGGACCTTGATTTCTTGATTTTAGGTTCTTTTTTATCCGCGTTTTCACCAAAGTGTGGATCGAAAGACCTTCCTCTCGCTTTCCTTTGAGAATTTTCAGGAGCATCCGAGTAACCTTCACTACTTCTCCGAAGTCGAAGAGTACGTGAGGACCGTCGCTGGATAGATTCATCGTCAATTCCAGAGCCTGGACTGTGCCTTAGATCATTCTCAATAGAAGCGTTAATCAAATCTTGAGTTAAAGATGTACTTCGCTGCCGAGTATAACGCGGTGGTGAGTTGGAAAAATTCGAGTGAGAATTCAAGGACTCGGAAGACCCTGACCGGGAGCTTAATGACTTGGGAGGTGTGGTCACTTCTGACTCTGCGGGCTGGGACTCAAGAACTCGGTCACAAGACTCTGCCATTGGGTCGGAAGACTCTGCCATTGGGTCAGAAGACTCTGCCATTGGGTCAGAAGACTCTGCCATTGGGTCAGAAGACTCCGGAAGCAAATTGATAGAGTCATCCGAGGAGCTAGACGATTCCGCGCATAAATCGGAATATTCCGTTTCATTATCTGCTTTAACCGAGACAGAGGTTGATGGTACCTCTTGAAACTTAGTAGAAAGTGTAGCAGGCGTTTCGGGCGCATCCAGACTTGTCTTCAGAAACTTACCATGTTTCCGAGATTGTCTTTGAGAGTTGCGGCTGTCAATGGCGTCATAGTGAATTATCAATTGCGAAACAGGTGCTGGCGGTCGTGTATCTATTTCAGGTGCGTATCTGATGGCAGACTTTTTCTCATCTGCAACCGGTATATCGAGTATTTTATCACCTCCAAACATTTTGATAATTTGTTCGCATGCATCAGAGACGGAGTGCTTTTCAGACTTATTAGAGTTCTTATACGTTATCCTCTTTTTCTTTCCCTCTTCTACTATACTAGCTTCCACGTTCGAATTGGGATTCTTCTCCAATGTTTTGATGCCGTTACTCAGGTTCAGATATTTCGGAGATGATTCATCTTCAATGTCGGACTTCACACTCGCATCACAGTCAATCGTGCAACTTCCGTGGTCAGCTGGCCTCTTTGGCTTCGTGAAATTTGCTAGATCTTCAGCGTCCTGCAGCGTTGATTCCAGCGACAAGTGTCGAGTGTCATTCTCAGAAATTACAACGTCATTTTTAGTTAATACGGTTTCTGTATCTTCCCAACGAACCGTCATGTCTTCGGTAGATGCCAAAGGACATTCATGATGAGAAAAATGAACAGAACCTTCGACATCATCGACAGCGATAGATGAAACAGCTTCGTTGGTTAGAGCCGAGCTCGGTGACGATGAAAGGTCCTTATTTTCAGGCAGGACAAGCAAAACTTGATCGTTGCCATCAGAATTACTCGATTCGTCGATATCGTCAAGAGAATTATTACAAGGATCAGCATTGTTTATTGACAAGTTTTTGACGAGTTCACTCAAGCGATGGAGCTTCTTCATGCCAGAGACACTTACGCGGTTCACGCGTCGTGGGGAACCAGATTGGTTGACTTCCACAAAATTGTTCTCATGAGTACACAGTTGCCCTTGTTCGTAATTAGACGATTTGTTATTAAATTCAGTACCATTTTCACAGCCATGGCTTTCTTCCATGCGACACAGGACCCTAGGGCTCGTAATAATCAAGTCTGGTGATGCATAGTCTCCAGATGCTTTTTCCGATAGATTTGAGCTGTCACTAATACCCGATGTGGAGTCTTGGAAAGGATCAGGAAGAGAACTAGACGAGTCAAGGTCTGCAAGACAACCTTGGGAGGTCTGTAATTCAGACTCACCAATACTTTCGTTTGAAATTATTATATTTTGAACTTCAACCTCGGATAACCTCACACTCCGGTCCAACTGTTCACCAGATAATTCTTTTTCGAGGTTGGTAGACAACGAATAAACTGTTATTTCATCAGTTTCTGGAGCTCGACACTTGCTTAAGCGATCAGGTTTTCCAGATTTCGGGCAAGATGACAAACTACTAATGAACTCCGATACGTCAATGGGAGTTTGAGGTGCAGCCTCAGGTTCATCAAAATCAGGCTCTTCGGAGACGCTGCGGCCATATTTTGCGTTAGCTAAACGCCGACGTCTGTTAGCTAATCGCCGTCGTCTGCCATGCAAGTTGCACGAAACGGTGTTGCCAAGAGAACTATGCGACTGTGATTCACGTCCTACGTTCGGCAGATTCTTCTCTTCAATTGGGTGATGAATTGTTAGGCAATTCTGAAGATTGCTGATATTTTTCGCATCAAAACTCGCATTTAGATTTGAATCGAAATAGTCGTCTATCTTATCGTTTCGTGTCTCTTTATCTTCGAACGACATCGTTGTCAGGAATGAATATTTACAGGCGAGTCAGATACTGAACTATGCACTTCCGAATTCCACAGATAATCAAACTTCAAATGTAGCCAAAAAATTGTCAGAGCTTTGCTTAAACACGATGGTTATGAGCTAAAAAGACGAGTTTAAGCGGAAAAACTCGAAATAAGAAATAACTAAACTTATCTAAAAAGGCAGCAAACTAAGTGTAATGGAAATCTGAAAAATAAAAGTTATAAAAATTTATTTTGAAATAAGGAATATACCAACTATAAAATCAGAAGCGCCTTTGAATAAAATAGAGTCCAGTTGGGAGTATAAAATGACGAATAAAATTTTTTTGATAGCAAATGAAATTTAATGCAATAAAATACGAAATTGTTAACTGATGTAAAACAGAAGTAAATAGTAAAAAAGGTTGTTTTTTCCTACCGTAAAAGTTAATCTGTTTTCCATTAGACGAATTGCGGTCTCGATACCGAAGTAACACCGAAAATAGTTATATGGAACTATATCACATATTCAAGAAATACACGTACCTAGTATATTTTAGAGTGGAATTCTACGAATGTAAGCTCATATATTCAAGAAAGATCCAGTGCAAAATTTGCTCAGTTCCAAAATATGACCTGAATTATAAAAGGAAATTCTAGTGTCAGGGTTTGCGATCCAATAGAGGCTAGCCTAATATGTAAACCTGATCATTCATTACCCATCCTAAATTCTATATTACGCAGCAAAAAGCACTCCTGCCACGAAAACGAAACTACTACTACTAGACTAGAAACGAAACTAACTACTAACTAGACTAGAATGCTGTGACCAGCTGCCCGTATTACGGACCAGCACGTACAGACTTCAGTGATTCGCAATTCGTATGAAGAAAACTCGTGTTATTCCTCATGGTCTTCATGAACACCACAGCTGTACTTATCGTTCGTAGGACTTCATGAACACCACTGCTGTACTTATCGTTCGTAAGACTTCATGAACACCACTGCTGTACTTATCGTTCGTAAGACTTCGTGAACACCACTGCTGTACTTATCGTTCGTAAGACTCCATGAACACCACTGATGTACTTATCGTTCGTAGGTCTTCATGAAAACTAATGCTGCATTAGTTCATTGATTCTTTTCCACCAGGTAGCGTTATCAACTGCCGCTGCATGGCTAACAAATAACCGCTGCTTAACAGCCTCCAATTCCAAATTTTTAGACACTTATTCAGGACAAAGCAAACGCTTGCGAGATTAAGCTAATGAATGCCACAATAACACGGCTGCCGACTTCCCACTAGCACAAATACTGCAGCAGGCGTCTTAACACTTAGGCTAGATCACGAGTTTTCAGAACTTGTTGATAAACATTCTAGACAAAATTATGCCAAGGCGAGTTCGCTTCAACGCAACACTTCATTTTCGCAACGTCCAAGTAAACTTCACACATCGACACCATAAATCAATGGGAAATAAATGTCTGACATGGAACATTTTACGGTTATGAAGCGACCAATGGAGTATGTGCAGTGCACCTCACCCTGCCAGGCCCAACGAACAACTGATAAGGTGATAAGTCTGACAAGCGAGATTACGACGTTACAGGCACGGTGCACAGCCTACCACGCACAACTGAGCTGTGGGCGTAAAAAGCAAGGCAACCACAGCAAAAAAATTTGATTAAGTACACGTAGCAGCCTAAGTACACGTAGCAGCCTGTATACACGTAGCGGTCTAAGTACACGTAGCAGCCTGAGCACACGTAGCGGTCTAAGTACACGTAGCGGCCTAAGTACACGTAGCAGCCTGAGTACACGTATCGGTCTAAGTACACGTAGCAGCCTAAGTACACGTAGCGGTCTAAGTACACGTATCGGTCTAAGTACACGTAGCAGCCTGAGTACACGTAGCGGTCTAAGTACACGTAGCAGACTGAGTACACGTAGCGGTCTAAATACACGTAGCAGCCCAAGTACACGTAGCTACCTTAGTACACGCAGCAGCCTGAGTACATGTAGCTGCCTTAGTACACGTAGCAGCCTCGGTACACGTAGCGGCCTAAGTGCACGTCTGTGGTCAGTGATTAGCAGACGAGGTAGCTAACTCGTAACTATTTTCGGCAGCATACGGCTTCTGATTTCCACTGACTAATTGACTGACAAACAAATGAGCACACTGAGATACTATACTGATGATTTTCGAAATCACTGAAAACGCAAGGTAATTACGAGGTGGAGAAATAAATGATCAAATTTTAAGTTTTCAGTCATTTCTTCGTCTAGATGGACAAATCCAGACCCAAAATAAAAAAAAGAGGCCGTCGTCATATATAACCAAGAGTTCGTAACTCTGTTAGACAATCACTGAAGGCTTTTATATTATAATATATAAATTTATAATATGAAAATTTATTAAGAAGAGTCTAACTATCACGAGATTACTTAGTTAAACAATATTATCTGTTGAAGAGTAGATGAACAGCAACGGCTTGGCCAGCATACTAAAATACTCATACACAGAATATTCAAAGCAAATCTTGACGGTGATGACGTTTCGCGGAGTGAACACTGGCTACTTTAATTAAAAAGCAGTTATCTAACTGTCCGTGCGTCGATTGTATAGACAATTCAAGCAATAGTTTAAGCATCCTAATATTATGGGAGGTCAAGCTAACAAGAGCAATTAGTCACTCTAACGTATGTTTTATCTCGGTAATATCAAATTACTTGAAACAATTACTATAGAAACATATATGTATAATAGCGGCAATATGAAAGATCAGGAATATCTATGTCTTATAGCGGTAATATCAAACAATTACACACTCGAAGTATATATATATAATATATATATATATATATATATCTTATACAGGTAATTCCAAGTTATTTATGAGGGTTCCCCACATGAATATCTCACACGGACATCAGTACAGGAAGTCCTCTTCACTAAATAGTCTTAACGTGCGATCCCTTGCCGTCAAAAGCGGCGTTTCTTATCATGAACGTTGCGGCCCTTCCTCTATAGCGTTCCTGGCCTGATAACGTCACACCGTATCGCCAGTAACGTCACACCGTATCGCCAGTAACGTCACACCGTATCGCCAGTAACGTCACACCGTATCGCCAGTAACGTCACACCGTATCGCCAGTAACGTCACACCGTATCGCCAGTAACGTCACGCCGTATCGCCAGTAACGTCACACCGTATCGCCAGTAACGTCACACCGTATACATTAACTAATTTGTTTTAATTAGTATTTACTAATTTGTTCATGCCATTTTGCCTTCGCGTTATTCTCGCCTTAGTCTGCAAACGTTGAACAATGGGTAATAAGTTATTCACGTTTAGTAATTTAATTATGCACGGACATAACATTTCTCGTGAAAAATTCTATTGCATTCTTTTTGACGATTTGTATCACTTATCGCGTGCTAAATACAAATAAACGAACAGTTGGGAATCCAGATGCAGTTGAAAATTCAAATACCGTTGAAAATCAACGATTTCCACAGTGTAAATTGTGATCGCGTATCTCAGGAGTTACGTTTAGTGTTACATGTACAATAGTTACAGTTATAATATATATACGAGGATCACAAGAGAGCGTGACGATGCTATGAAGTTGTAGATGTGTTATCTCTATTGTTATCATATGTGCTCCAAGTGATGGACTCTTCGGCAGATAGTGCACAAAAAAGTGGGTCGAGGAAGCAGAGAATTGTAGGTCATATTAGAGACAATTTGATGTTGAAGCCACTAGATATGGTTTTGTCATAGATGCAGTGTTCATACTTACACAAGTTCAGATTACAGTACATGTAGTCCAACATATCAACGGTGTCGGCATTACATTTGTACATAGTCGTACGTGAAATCACATATTTTCATCATTAAAACAGAATTGTACGTCCAAATGATTATAAAGATAAGTATTCGTTCCCTTGAACGGAAAAACAAATGTAATTAAAGAAGGAAAATAATTACATTATTACGTTGGCATAAGTACCGTACATGAAATGAAAAGAAGATATTCTTAGTACATATTTAAGATTTGATTTTCAAATTAAAGGATCAAGGAAATAATGACACATCAAGAACATCAATTCCTAAATTCAAGTCTCGAGTTAATAATGGCACGTGAAAAAGATGAAACATTGAGCAGATAATGGTGACATAATACATCAGACGGTGATGATATGACACATGAGATATCATGTGTCATCATCATAATATCATAATCATTATATTACATCATCATTATATTACACATGAGATGATGATATAATAAAAAAGATGATGATGCTGTAATACAAGAAACGATGATTATATTACAGATGATGACTGACCATCTTCTCCTTGACGATGTTCTCGAGCTCTGTGGCGAGGTGCTGCGTGCTGGCCTCCGTGTTGGCCAGCGACACCGTCGAGCCCTGCACGGCCAATATATTAGGTTATGAGCGAGAGATTATAAGCGAGAGATTATAAGCGAGAGATTATGAGCGAGAGATTATAAGCGAGAGATTATAAGCGAGAGATTATAAGCGAGAGATTATGAGCGAGAGATTATAAGCGAGAGATTATAAGCAAGAGATTATGAGCGAGAGATTATAAGCGAGAGATTATAAGCGAGAGATTATAAGCGAGAGATTATAAGCGAGAGATTATAAGCGAGAGATTATAAGCGAGAGATTATAAGCGAGAGATTATAAGCGAGAGATTATAAGCGAGAGATTATAAGCGAGAGATTATAAGCGAGAGATTATAAGCGAGAGATTATAAGCGAGAGATTATAAGCGAGAGATTATAAGCGAGAGATTATAAGCGAGAGATTATAAGCGAGAGATTATAAGCGAGAGATTATAAGCGAGAGATTATAAGCGAGAGATTATAAGCGAGAGATTATAAGCGAGAGATTATAAGCGAGAGATTATAAGCGAGAGATTATAAGCGAGAGATTATAAGCGAGAGATTATAAGCGAGAGATTATAAGCGAGAGATTATAAGCGAGAGATTATAAGCGAGAGATTATAAGCGAGAGATTATAAGCGAGAGATTATAAGCGAGAGATTATAAGCGAGAGATTATAAGCGAGAGATTATAAGCGAGAGATTATAAGCGAGAGATTATAAGCGAGAGATTATAAGCGAGAGATTATAAGCGAGAGATTATAAGCGAGAGATTATAAGCGAGAGATTATAAGCGAGAGATTATAAGCGAGAGATTATAAGCGAGAGATTATAAGCGAGAGATTATAAGCGAGAGATTATAAGCGAGAGATTATAAGCGAGAGATTATAAGCAAGAGATTATAAGCAAGAGATTATAAGCAAGAGATTATAAGCAGGAGATTATAAGCAAGAGATTATAAGCAAGAGATTATAAGCAAGAGATTATAAGCGAGAGATTATAAGCAAGAGATTATAAGCAAGAGATTATAAGCAAGAGATTATAAGCAACAGATTATATATCAAACAGCAACAATCTCATAACTGATAAATGAAATAAGCCAAAAAAATGCAGAAAATATGTTATTTTAAAATTATAACTTTCATATAAACAATTACTGACAAATTACTCATAAAATAGTTACGTAGAGAATGAATTAAGTGCAGAAAATAAGACAAATTATCTTAAAAAGTTACTGTCATATAAATAGTTACTCACAAATTACTTATAAAACAATTGACTAGAGAATGAATTCAGTACAGAAAATAGTACAGTAGCAGCGTATACTCACGCGGGAGTTGATGGCCCCCACGAGCGCCCCCATGACACCCGCCGGTCCCGCCAGACCTGCCGGCACGACCAGCGCCACCGACGCCGCCACCGCCGCGTCCCCCGCCACCGACCCGCCAGCGGCAGCGTCGGCGGCGGTCAGAGGCTCCGCCATGACACGCATGGGCGGCGGCAGCTCCACCTCGAGCTCTGCGTCGTCCCCGCCACCGTCCAGACCTTCGTATCAAAACTTCGTAAATACCTACGCAAAATTGACTTACGAGTGGCGTAAGTGCTGATATGATGACGTCACTCTAGCGGTGGTATTATCAACACATTTGCGCGGGAAACTACGTAACGTAACTGTACGCCTGCCCGGGGATGTCGTAAGTGAAGTTCCGCACAAGTTTAGAGTGTCTGCTGAAGCAATAGGAAACTATTGATTTACTAGCAAGTAGCAACACCTTGACTTGTGATAGAATTTTGTCAATAATCCGACATATAATATGTGATCGTGCTAAACGGTGCTTTTGGGATAAAAATGTCAATTGGTCAATTGCCTTTTGTGCTATAATTTACAAGCAAATGTTGATATTCATATCTAAGAGTTTTATTATCATTCACTTGTACAATATCTTAATGCCTTTTTGATTCAAAATTATGTTGAGGTTGACAAGCCAACCATTATTCTAGTTCTCTGCAAACAAATTTATTTCTTTCTATGACAGTAGCAACTCAAACTCACGAAATTTTCTAATTTCTTTGTAACCTTCTGAATAATTCTTCTAATTTTGAATGGGAATAATGCATTTATTTTCCTTTATTGCAAGAAATTTCGGTTAATGATCACAACAACAAGTGCATTGATATTTGGTTAACGTCTCATATATTTATCCAAATACACCCTAGTCAGGCACCGCAAATGCCGCTGACACCATACATCATGCTTTCGTCCAAGCGCACCGCGCACTGGTCGAGAGGAGCTATAGGAACAGCAAATCCAAAGCCTCTGATTAGTCAGTTACCAGATGGTTTTGATAATACGCTTTTAGCTAAGTCTTCCGTACGAAAGTTTTGATAATGCCAAAATTAGGGTGTACTTACGTAACACGTAACTTTTTTGTCAGAAGTACAAAAAGTTACTAAGTTTTGATAATCCGGTCCATGGGTGAGTGTTGCACTGGGTGATGCGTCGCACTGGGTGATGTGTTGCACTGAGTGATGTGTTGCACTGAGTGATGTGTTGCACTGGGTGATGTGTTGCACTGGGTGATGTGTTGCACTGGGTGATGTGTTGCACTGAGTGATGTGTTGCACTGGGTGATGTGTTGCACTGGGTGATGTGTTGCACTGGGTGATGTGTTGCACTGGGTGATGTGTTGCACTGGGTGATGTGTAGCACTGGGTGATGTGTGCACTGGATGATGTGTGCACTGGATGATGTGTTGCACTGGGTGATGTGTTGCACTGGGTGATGTGTTGCACTGGGTGATGTGTTGCACTAACCTGCATTGATAGTTGCGCTGTGTTGCTCGAGAGCAGAGCTGGCATCCGGTGTTGCTGCAGAGCCAGGCCTGTTGCCCATCTCCCCTCCAACGCAGCCCACCTGCAACACGCAACACAAATTAAACTCCAACACGCAACACTTGTTAAACATTCAACACGCAACAAGGGTTCAACTTTCAACACGTCCCCAAGTACAACTTCTAAACACAACAGCGCTGGAATTTTCCAACACGCAACAAGTGTTCAACTTTCAACACGGCGATGATTTCAACTTTGAGAACATAACCGCGCCAAACTTTAGACACGGTGCGAGCGTCGAACAAGTTTAATTACAATTTCTGGCTAAGCTCGTCAGCTCATACCGCGGAGGTATGGGATCGAGAAAGCAGACTATGCAGTTGAATCATTTGCTGCTACATTAATTAATTTACAATTATGGTAGGAATACCATAGCATCAAACCAACTGCCTGGTCACAGCTCCCAAAATAAACATTGGTCAAATAATGGCACTGAAAGACAAAAACAATGACTTACAACACTCAACTTTTTATCAAAATAATGCGCGAAAACGAAATTCTTTCTGCCTATATTTACGATCTATGGTCAAATTAAATGGGATGCTATAATAATGGTGCGGAGAATGAGTCTTGACTAACCATGCTTCAGTATACACTAATATTACAAAGATTTCACTAATTGGTGCTCGAATTACCTCTCTAGGATATTGCATATATTCATGTGGAAGCGCACCATATGCAATATCTCATGAAAAAATAATGATGAAATTACTGCGTAGCCTGTGACTGTCAAGTCTGACACGCTTATCGTGGACACAAATGATACATACTCTTCAGCAAACCGTTATATTAGTGATTATGCTGATCGATAATTAACGGATCCACATGAGCGCTGATAGGTAACAGGTTGTTACCTCAAAATCAGATTTAGAAAAACAGGCATATGGAAATGACGTAGGTTACCGTACTAGTTAATCATTAATTAGTATTGATGCTGCGACAGAATTAGAAAAATACGTCCACGCGCAAACCTTGACAACCACAAACGAAACAACGGATTCGGTAATGAGGCAACATCGGTTTTTGATAATTCTAAGTTTAATAATAGTATGTAATTTTAATTATAGTAAGTTTTCACTTACTATTCAATATTGGAGTTCGCCTAAAATCAATATCGTTTGGATATACCACCATTTAAAAACTGAACCAAAGCCATCACACCACGTTGATTGTTATCAAAATATCATCCGCTTTTTCGGAGTCAGATTTTCAACCAACGCCACATAGTGTAATTTCAGATACTTTTTATTATGGCTTCTATTGGCCACGTTTAATATCAAACCAAGTAGAAAAAATAACAAATGTTATAGTTGTAACCATATTACGAGATTAATCAACCATGCAGAAACTATACGTGTCAACCGAGGCCAAACTCCACTACAACACCATGCATTAGCTAATGGTTGAAAAATATTTTTACTAGTGCCGACTCAAACTGTTTGCAGCTTTGAAATAAGTACTCTGTACGATGTTTCCCGTCACAACGGATTCAAGAGGAATGATGCCTTCACAACAACAGACCAGAGAAGTATGNGGTTCTCAGAAAAGTTTAATTGGGCAAGTGGTTCTCCACCGCTGATTAGTCAGACCAGTGGTTCTCACCGACGATATTTTGGTCAGTGGTTCTCACCAAAGTTTAATTGGGCAAGTGTTTCTCAACTAGCAGGCCATGTATCAACTGTGCATGCGGCGGTAATGTAGGGGAGAGTATCAATAATTGGGCCTTACTTACAGGTCAATTAAAAAAACTTTTTTTTGAAAGGAAATCATGCTTATTGTGATAAGTTGAACTTGGTGCAAAGCAAAGCGACGAAAATATTGTGGCGTTACGGTATCCTGTCACTGGATGCATGGGAAATTTCCCACGAGCAGCTCTCAGACGTGCTGCATTATATATTAATTATATAAAAGATTTGTAGATAATTAAAAATTATTACTCAACATTGAGGTTCATCCCCAAGTAAGACTCCAGCGTTACATACCATATTTATAAATAATTTAAAATATTTTATCAACATTGATATTCTGTCCCAAATAAAAGACGATCGAAATCGAGGAAAATCGGGTAAATGGTGAATGAAGATAATGATCAAAAGTGAGATGATGTACGAGGAGGAAATAGCGATAAAGGAATAATGAAGGAAGAATGAGAAATACAGGTAAGGCTAGGAAAAACGAATGGATGCAGGAAAGAGCGAAAACGAAGAAGCGTAAGAAGTGAATTACTAGGAAGAAAAAATACGCTAGAGAACAATGAGAGCACTCGATTAAAGAGAGTGAGCGAGAAAGAGAGCTAAGAAGAAACACAGTGTCCGCTTCAAAGTTCAAAGTTCACATCAAGAGTCAAGAACCTTTCGTGCAATCTCAGGAATGTCGTGAAATTGTGATTTCATTTAAAACAGCTGGAATAATAGAAGTTAAACACGAACAAGCTTAGTGAATCAAATTTTAAATAAACAAAGCGACCCAATATTGAAGCAGAGCCGCTTTTCCACTACCTACATCAGAATAAAAAGAGATGAAAAATGTGGCAAGAATAATTAAATGCATTGAATACTAGAACTCAAAAAATAAAATTAAATACACATGTTATTGTTTGAGTTCGGTGTTCTTCTCTAGCCCAAGGGATTCCAGCAGTTGAAGGCCTAAAGCAAAATAACGTGCTCGCATAGCGACCTGAAAATTTCAGAACGCGACCGACCCGAAAGACCGAATAGAGCCGAGGCTCGGTCATTACCTGCGTGAGGGTGGCAGCGGCAGAAGACAACAACGACGCCACCATGTTGGAGCACACGGAGCTGCTGTGGGCGCCGGAGTACGGAACTCGGTAGTGCTCGAGACTGTACCGCTTGGGCGGCGCAGTCTCAGGCGGGGAAGAACTGCGGCGACTGTCGTTACTAACGCGGGCACCCACTGACAGACGGCGCCCGACACTCTCTTGAAAACGGTCCAGCAGCGGCATTGCGCTCACAATTTCTTGCGCTATTTTACTATAAGCACAATTCAAATACCATCACGCACACTACTAGTTGCTTTATATTACTTTTTCAAAGTTTCCGTGCTATTTATTAGTTTCCGTGCTATATGTTTCCATTAATTGCACGTGGATATTCAAAAGTTGACTACATGAGGATTTGAATGTCAAGTTCCAGCCGCGTAAAAAACCAACGGGCTACAACCGAGCTTAATTGATAGACTGCACGCATCTGTCGTAATACGGAAATTCGATCAGATGTTTTTAGCACTAGAGTACACCGTCATCAATTACTCGGTTCAGCCAGTGTTATGGCAATATTTATATTTCAATGGTTCACAATAATACACTGCACATGAGGGTGTCAGAAATGAAATAATTTGAAATGATTTGTGTCGAATCGTTGGCTAGGACGCCCTCCTATCTGATTAAAAGTTTTATGGAACCCATAAAACGAACGGGAATGAATCCAGCCGGGATTCTAAAAAATCAGCTACCTAGAATTTCAAAATCTAAACTTATCCTAACCAAAACTTTCAAATATTCTGCAACATCAAAATATTAATTCTTCCAATCTCCTATATGCAATCAAAAATGATTACAGACTATTTACCTCAAATTATATAGTAAATTTAGATATTGTTTCAACCTCACAAAGTATCGCCCTCCTGAAGCGTTTCAATTAATTTCACCGATGTTACACGCGAAAAAAATGCTGAACGCTGGCACAATAAAAAAGGTTTCCTTCGCGCGCGACTCCTGATAGCCTGACACTATCGACAGCTTCTGGATGGATGATAGTGAATGGCAGGACTGAGCGGTGCCGTCGATGCTATTTCCCGATAACTGGGAGCAAGATTGGATGATAGCTGAGGTAGAGTGATGCTGATGATGTAATTTCTCAATTGTTTGGAGGAAGAGTGGATGATAGCTGAGGTAGAGTGATGCTGATGATGTAATTTCTCGATTGTTTGGAGGAAGAGTGGATGATAGTTGAGGTAGAGTGATGCTGATGATGTAATTTCTCGATTGTTTGGAGGAAGAGTGGATGATAGTTGAGGTAGAGTGATGCTGATGATGTAATTTCTCGATTGTTTGGAGGAAGAGTGGATGATAGTTGAGGTAGAGTGATGCTGATGATGCTATTTCCCAGTAGTCGAGGCGAAACATGGATGATGGCTGAGGAAAGACTAATGTTGATGATGCAATTTGCCAATAGTCAAAAGGAAACTGGATGCTGGATGCGAGGATTGAATGATGTTGATGACACAATTTCCCTATATTTGGTTTGGAGATAGATAGCACAAAATAGTTGGGTAGAAACTGAATGTTGGTTGAGGATAGTGATGAGAAAGATGTGATTTACCGTTAGTTGGAGATTAACTGGATTATGTTTGAGGGTAGAGTAATTTTGATGATGCAACTTTCCGATAGTTAGGGAGAAAGACTATAATTAACGTGTTATGCATATCGTAGACAAAACTTATCTCACACGAAGAAAGAAAAAAAATGTTCGCAATGAAACGTGTGTTCAGTGCTTATTATTAACTTCTATAAGGAACAAATATGTTAATGAGCAAAGCTCCGAGGAAAAAATTCCATTCCCGCATAATAATACTGCATAAATTATATAGGCTACAAATCACAACCTGATATTCTAAAATATGTGCGGTAGATTTATCATATAAGGACGGAAGCAGACAGCGCGCGGCTTTTAGTAGTATTTAGAAGAGTAGTGTATTAATAGTAGTGTATATAGTATAGTAATTCTGCTTAGTATTGTATACAAATAGTGCAGTACTTAGTTATTATGCAACTTTGAATAGTATTAAGTACTGTTTAGTATAGTACGAGTACTAATACTTGGTAAGTAGTATGCGAATTTTCATGGCCAGGTAGCGCAGGTAGAGGGTACGACTCTGGCACGGGCGAAGTCTCGTGCGTATGACAGATGAGCATCGTTGAGCCCGAGCCGACCTTTAAATGAACGCGTGCTTTTTTGTGAGCAGCGAATGGTAAGCAGCGCGTTCCTTGTAAGCACACTCAGA